AGAGTTCTGGAACATGCCCTAGGATGTACATCCAAACTTTACATCCCCTTGCATAGCTCATAGTGGTATATATCAGCTGTGCTGTTGTACAGAAGAGGGGGAAAATGTAACACAGGGATGTTGCAAACTAGCCAACTCTTCATTATTTTAAAGGGTGCTTTCAGACATCAGGAATATTGCATTGTTGTTGTTTAGTCGTTTAGTCGTGTCCGACTCTGTGACCCAATGGACCAGAGCACGCCAGGCACTCCTGTCTTTCACTGCCTCCCGCAGTTTGGTCAGACTCATGTTTGTAGCTTCGAGAACAGTGTCCAACCATCTTGTCCTCTGTCGTCCCCTTCTCCTTGTGCCCTCAATCTTTCCCAACATCAGGGTCTTTTCCAGGGAGTCTTCTCTTCTCATGAGGTGGCCAAAGTATTGGAGCCTCAGCTTCAGGATCTGTCCTTCCAGTGAGCACTCAGGGCTGATTTCCTCAAGAATGGATAGGTTTGATCTTCTTGCAGTCCATGGGACTCTCAAGAGTCTCCTCCAGCACCATAATTCAAAAGCATCAATTCTTTGGCGATCAGCCTTCTTTATGGTCCAGCTCTCACTTCCATACATCACTACTGGGAAAACCATGGCTTTTACTATACGGACCTTTGTTGGCAAGGTGATGTCTCTGCTTTTTAAGATGTTGTCTTAAATATTGCATTAGTTTTCCTGATTATTTTGCTAGCACTTTTGTCCCATTTTTAATGTTCCTTTCACACTGCAGTACCTGTTGCATTGTAGAATTGTGGCTTTTTGACTGCTATACAGGCATGTTGTGCTAAATTTCATTCACATCAGGGGGCATGGTATGGCACAACAATGAATGTCATTGGACATCGCTGCTCCCCCTCTCTTTCTGTTTATATCTGTTGCCCAATGAAAACAGCAGGAAAGTACTGTAAGCCAGTATACCACCCCAAATTCCGTCACTTTACTCCCATTTTTTTTGGGTTAAGGGGGCTGGAAACATTTCCCCCCTCTGGAATCAAGTAACACAGAAACGAGCCTTTACTATAATAATAACAACAGCAGCAGCAATCTAATATGACAATAAATAATGATAATATAATAGAACAATTAATTTTTGGTGCCCTGATCATAGGCTTGTTTGTTTTTGCTCTTTTTATATCTGGCATGCATATTGCTGCGGGAGGCAGTGGAAGACAGGAGTGTCTGGCGTGCTCTGGTCCATGGGGTCACGAAGAGTCGGACATGACTAAGCGACTAAACAACAACAACAACATGCATATTGCTGCTCATTCCATTGTCAGGAAAGCAAGTGGAGTATTTCTTCCCTGTGCCTTCCCTGCTTCAACCTGTATGGCATTGCTTCTTCCTGGGATGATCAGCAACATTACAGCATTGAAATACACCATTCCTTTTCTGCTAACATACTTTACTGTCTCTGAAACCTTGGCATTATGAATCTGATCCAGCAGCCATTAAAGTCAAAGCCTGTCATTAAAATATGCAGGAATGATGGATATATTAAATGAACCTAGGAAGGGGAAGAAGGGAAGTCAATGAATGTATGGTTTAATAGAAGATGTTTAATTTCAAGTATAAAATTTGAAAAGTTAACAAAAATTTAAAATGGAACAAAGCCCATTAACATGAGAGATGAAGTTCTGTTCCAGTTTGGGGCTTTGGAATCTGTTAGATGGTGCATCATCCATGGCCAGAAAATAGACTGACTTGCTTATGTGCCGCCTCAGCTTTTCCAAGTTAACAATCTCCCACATCAGAGTTCACAGCAAGGATTGCAGCTTTTTATTGTCTCCTTAGAGGACCGCTATGCCATTCCTTGATTTATTCTGAAAACTTAAAAGGTTTAGTCCTTATTCTCCAGGTCCCCTTCTCAACGGAGGGTTTCTTAACTTTAAACCACAGCTCTAGGTGCATTTGGACCGGTCGCCACTGTTATCACTTGATGAATGCAAGCATTATTGTCAGGTGTGAATATGTCATCACAGGTTTAACACCAGAGACAAAGCAGACACTAGTCTGAAGCTTTTGCAAAGAAGTGGGCGCCCTGCCTACATGTGTTAATGACTTATCAGCAGTGGTGGTAGCGCTGTGATCATCACTAGGTGACTATTATTTTATTTATTGAACTTAAATCCCAGAGTTTTCTCTAAGGAGCTGAAGGTGGCATACATGGCTCTCCCCTTCCTCATTTAATCTACACAACAACCCTGTGAGATAGGTTAGGTGAAAAGACAGCGATGGCCCAAGGTCACCCAGTGAGCTTCATTGTCAAGTGGAGATTTGAACGCTGGTCTCCCAGATTCTAGTTTTACACTCAAACCACTGGTTCTGAGTTTCCATTTAAATTTCCCATAATGCCCCTGCAGGAGTGCTGTTCTGGAGCATTGCAGAAAATTTAAATGGTGGCTCACCATCCACCTGGCAAATGGGTTCAGGACAGGTGTCAGTGCATTGGCAGGTCCTACGCAAGTACTGGGTCCCATAGAGTACAATATGGGAAAAGCAGGCCTGGACAGAGCTTTCCTATCATTCCAAAGACAATTTTTTTCAGTTGACACTTGCAGCTGCTGGTAGTAGCTCTTTAGAAATGGAGGCCCCCTACCGGTACTAGGGATGGGGGAGAATTTAAATTCCATTCACATTTAAAGGTGAACCTAACTAATTGCCACTTTCCAAAACAATGCTATATCCAAAGCAGCCATCTCTGAAATTCATCCTTGTGTGTTGTGGATCAGGCCCTAGTGAAGTATACTGTGTAAGTATGCCAGCGGGAATTATCATTTCACTCAATGGTGGTCTGCTATGAAAGCTACCCTGAAGATTTGGATGCTGCATCCAACACTTCAAGTGCTAGTCCTGTGGTGGTTGGCAGGATGTGGTCCTTAGGTAGCAATGAAAAAAGGTGTGTTGCTGATTATTAGAATTTCCAAAATGGGAATGACCGAAAATGATAAGGGAAGTGATGCCTTTATTTGAACCAACCAGTGCTCACAAAGAGATATGCAAAGTTTTGAGAAGCATTTGCGGACTGATGAATCTGATACATTTGTCAAGTACCGCTTGTGACTAAGTTAACATCCAGTCTGAGAAACAGTCCTGTGGAGCTCAAAGCTTGATACAGAAAGATGCCATTGGACCCTGCAATCAATGCAGTATCTCATCTTGTAATCCTTTTTTTTTAATATGGCTCTCTGGAGATTTTATAGATAAAATTCATTTGGAAGATTTATTGATGCACATCTCTAATAAATGGTCTGTGCAAGATCTGAGAGTAGAAAGGAAGATAGTGAAGGGATTTAAGCATGGGAGTCACATGATCTGAGGAAATTTAGTGGCCACAGTGTGCAGCTGTATCTCTCACATAGGTTCATTCTGTTTTGGAAACAGAATATGCTGCTTACATTCTCTTTTGATTTTCCAGCCCCATTGCTCTCTATTCTCTGAAGAAGACATGAAACTGTTTTTCAGGAACAAATACATTTCCTTGTATTGTATACGCCAGTTATATTTTTACCTTCCTCAAGTGGAATGCTAGACACGTATTTGGCTCAGCCTCTGTGTATAAATAGAATAATAAATCGGCAATCATGTCATGTTCTGAAAATAAAACGTAGCCATGATGTGACCTAAGTGTGGGGCATTTGCTGAGGTGCTGCATTACGGACACAGAGCTCATGTGATCTGAAATGCCCACATTGATAAAACAAGCTATTGCCAATAAACTAAATTTTGGCTATGGATATAGGTTGAGAGGATATACATCAGAACACACAGGAGATAAGTGTATGAGGCTACAGTTCTTGCTAAGTTGAGGAAGCTGGCAGCATTTTCCATGGCTTGTTGCATACATCACTCTTTGTACCATGTCAGTGGTTAGTAGATTGCAAGAGATGGTGCCAAAAGGTTGGTCTCCTGCAGGTTGGTCTCTCTACCTTAACTCAGAAGAAGAGTTTGGATTTGATATCCTGCTTTATCACTACCCGAAGGAGTCTCAAAGCGGCCAACATTCTCCTTTCCCTTCCTCCCCCACAACAAGCACTCTGTGAGGTGAGTGGGACTGAGAGACTTCAGAGAAGTGTGACTAGCCCAAGGTCACCCAGCAGCTGCATGTGGAGGAGCGGGGAATCAAACCCGGTTCACCAGATTACGAGTCTACCGCTCTTAACCACTACACCACACTGGCTCTCTCAGGTTAAGCTTGTGGTCCACTAAGGCCCTTAGATCCTTTTCACAAGCCAGGTGTCCCCCATCTTAAATTTGTGTAGCTCCTTCTTGCCTGTGTGCAGAAACCTGACAGTTGTCCCTGTTAAAATTCATTTTGTTAGTTTGGGCCTGGTTCTCCAATTTGTTAAGGTCATATTGAATCCCAATTCTGTCTTCTACCCTTCTCAGTTTGGTGTCATCTGCAAAATTGGTAAGCGTCTCCTCATTCCTTTTGAAAGATGTTGAACAACAATGGGTCCAGGACAGAATCCTGTGGCACTCTGCTTGTCACTTTTTTCCAGGATGACAGCCAGTGCCATTGCTTGGGCTGGTTGTAAGGAAGATGGCAGGCAGAGGTGGAGGCTGGATGAAGGCTGACTGAGGTTGGTGGAGCTGTGCTCCTTTTGCCCGAATGAACCAACCTTCGCCAGCTATGGTCGTGGCTTGTGCTTTATCTCAAGTGTTACAAAATAATTTAAAGATTCTGTGAAAGAAGCAACTTGGGAAGGAGGGTGGTAGCAGTTGTGATGAGAGTTAGGTGCTTGTCCCTGGTTGTACTATGTAAATCACATCCACAGTGTGTGTGTGCATGCTCTCACACAGACACTTTTAAGCTGTTGAGAATTAGCTGGGTTTCCCTGACCTGTGTCCACTATACAACTTCGGGTTCCACCTTAAACAGGAAAGGTGTATGCATAACCCTGAGGTTTTATAGCTGTGGAAATTTGGAATGAATCCCAAATGCAAAACAAGAAAAAGGAAATCAAACAAAGGGATCTTAACTGAGGAAGTCTTTTATTCACAGCTAAATGCTAGCATTACAATCTGGCTATCTGTTTTTAGAAGATTAAAGGGGAGGGGAGAAGAAGGTTAAAACAAAACATTTATTAAAAAATTAGAAAGTTTTTTGTGGTTTTTTTTGCAAAGCTTGACTAGAACCAGCTTACTGGGTCTGCACACCAAACTGTACAGATATTTTAGCTGAGCAAGTAAGCAGTTGAGAGAAAGGAGTGAGATTTCCCTCCCCATGCATAAAATGCAATTGAGAAGGTGGGAGAGGCAGCAGCATTGTGTAACGCAGTCACCCTTTCTCTCCCGCCCCTCCAAAGACAGTTACTGTACACAAAATAAATACCTTTTACAAGAGGCTCAGTACAATGCTACAGTCCTTCACTGAAGGGAAACATATATACATATAAATCCTGTATATAACTTATTTTACGTACATCACCATCAATGCTACATGTTTGTTTGTTTGTTTGTTTGCTTTTATTTAAAAAAGAAGGGCTAATTCAGGCAGGCATTCCAAATGCAAAAAAGATAGTAGCATTACAGGAGTGGGCAGTGCAGAGTCAGGAGGATGGGGTTGAAGACAAACAGTAGAATTTGAGTGGAATGATCCCCAAGGAAGCATCTTTATGCTACAGACTTAGGACCCTTCCAGACTGGTGTTGTTTGTGTGGGTGGGTGGGTGCAGACATGTATTCTACAACATGCCATTGACACAATAACAGTGCATGAGTGGTGGAATTATACTGGGCAGTCCACACATTATTTTGCTTTATTATTTTGTGATGCTTCTCCAATGTTACCGCATTATTGACTTCTGGAGGAGCACCCTTGCGCTGTAGCGCACCAAAGGCGGGACATTCTACCCCCACATAAAATTTGTGGTGTGAAAAGTTACAAGATTTCAGCAGAAAGCTATGGGACATGCACTGATTGGAAGCAAAGCAGTTATGTCTGCCCCAAAACCTTTATAGGCACGAACAGTATTGAAAGCAGAATCATGTATAACCATCCAGACACCACCACGAGCACAAATGACCATAAATGCACAATAAAAAAAGGACTCCGGGGAGGTCCCTAAACTAGTTTAAGTTGGGATTGTGTGAAACCCTTTTGAGAAATATTTAATCTTATCCAATTTGTTGGGGTGTGTGTATCCTTTGAGGTTTCTTAGTTGTTTCACCTAAGAAGGGACCTCCAAATTTGCTGTGAACTTCACTTCAGTTGAAATCCAACAATAACCTCAGGCCTATGTGGACTCTCCCAAGAGGAATTTAATTGTATACACCTTGCTGTTTCTTTCTTTTTTTCAGCAAAGCATAACAGAACGAAGGACCAAATTGGGCTTTAAAAGGAGCAGCTTACTGAGTAAGGTCTATTTTTCTGTATAAGGGAAAACCAAACAGCGGGCTGCACTGACAGTACTGATAGATGAGATGTTGCTCTCCCCATTTCCAAGTCTAGCACAGGCTTTATGACAGCGTACATATCTCTAACACAGCCTCAGGAAAATGTCAGGCTAAAATGCCGGGCATATTCCAAAGAAGTGTTACTTACAGCCTGACAGAAAAGACGCACACAGTGACCTTTTGAGTTTTTGGAAATGCATTGCGAGAGAGAAGAAGGAATTGAGAAAAGGACAGCATCCAGCATCATGTTAGAGTGACTGGAATTTCACTTCCGGTAGATGACCTCATACATGGGGTGAAGACACACAGAGGATTTTAAGCATGGTAGATGTGGTATGAATGCACTTTTCCTGCCTTGGAAAAACATGTCACTTCTTCCAGTGAGTTGGGGAGGGAATGGTTTTGCAAGTTTCTGATGTGTTGGAGAAAGGCTGGCTTAAGTGGGTACCTCTTGACAAGTGCCCCATTAGCCTGGACCTGTGACACTGGCAGCGTACCTCTTCCTTTTCTCCCAATCTGCTGGGAGTTCATTATTTTTTTGTAAGGCAAATGATGGATGCATGGAAGAACAAATGTGCATGTGCTGCTTTGATCTAGCATTTGACTTACCAGGCAAGACAAGATGCAAAGTTTGGCTGGCTAACAAAGAACTCACAGTTGTTAAGAATGTTATGACTAACTGGATAGCTCAGTTAGAGTGTGGTGCTGCTAACAGCAAGGTTGCAGGTTTGATTCCCATATGGGATAGCTGCATATACCTGCATTGCAGGGGGTTGGACTATATGATTTTCAGGGTCCCTTCCAATTCTACGATTCTGTCTTCAGAATAGAGCACAACTCATTTTCACAGTGCTCCTGCTTTTGCCTGATCTCCAGGTAGCATCACACAATATGTAAATATAAATAGCAGGTAATCTCCCCTTTCTTATCTACCCATTCTATTTCTCAAAAAAGTCCAGATATTCCCCCTGATAAATGAAGTCTTCCTGCAGTTATTAGAGATAGGTCTGATTTGCATACAGCAGGGGTAGAATTTAGGACTATACCAAATTTTGCAGCTGTCCTTGACTTTTTTTTTTTAAAGGGCACATTAAAAAATCTGGGGCTAGTCCTACATATAGTAGACACATTAAAGTTAATGGGCATGACTAACTTAGGTTCATTAACTTAAGTGAGCCTACTCTGAGTAGAATTTAGTTGCATACAACTCCCTGGTATACACATCCCAGAAGAAATAGTGTATGGCTTGGATTCATCTTTTGTTTAATGGGAAATGTATTATACCAGTAAAACGATTTATACTATTTTTTTTTTAAAAAAACTGCAGTTTAATGTGAAACAAGAACAAAAAATAGTGAGAGGAATATAGGTATTATTTCTTACAAACAAAGGAGAACATCCAGGGATTATCCCAGATATCTGAAAGAATGTGAAGTGCAAGACTTGTGGTTTGGCTCAGGAAACTAACCCTCGGTCATAAGGAACCCTATCTTCTCTTCAACCTTCTTCATAGGGTAATAAATGTTCTTGGCTTCTATAGGAGCTCTCTGCATCCTGCAAAAAGGGAGAGTGGGACTGTTGTTGCCAAATGTCTTGTGTCTACAAAATTAAGATAGCTGTTTGGCAAGGAAAAGCTTTCTGGCTAAGAGTTCCAGTATTTCCTGTACTGGTCAGGTCTCTCAAACTACTTTTTGTCCTCCTGGTGTTTAGGAATTTCTGCTTCTGGTTGCACCCAGAACCTTGAAATGCAGTGGGAGCATCCAAGGTTTTTTGACCAGACAAAGTTCAAATTGGTGGTTAAAGACTGAGGCAACCTTTTTTCTTTCCTATCAAAAGTGGGATCTAAAACTCCAGAGCTTACTCCCTGGTTTAAATATACCCTCTTCTCCTTTTTTGTCCCTCCAGAGGATTTGGAATTGCCTTTTATGGAGAAGGGCTGTAGCATGGGGTTTTTGTGTGCAGGTAGTCCTAGGTTCAACGCCTGGCATATCCTGTTAAAAAAGCAGGGCTGGGAGCATTGGTGCAGTAGTCCAGGGTCATGGTGGGAAGTCAGAGACCCCTTACTACCGTATTTCTGTAGCAGAGTCCCAGTATTCTACAGCCACCCTATTCAGCATGAAAGGAGAGCTTTTTTAGTCACTGTGTACTTCAAAGATAAACATTTAGAAACACTGAAAACATAAGATGCTTCAGTTACTATGCATATTAGATAATTAGGTATATTAATTGTATACAGTTATGTGTATATTAAGGGACGCGGGTGGTGCTGTGGGTAAAACCTCAGTGCCTAGGACTTGCCGATCATATGGTCGGCGGTTCGAATCCCCGCGGCGGGGTGAGCTCCCGTCTTTCAGTCCCAGCTCCTGTCCACCTAGCAGTTCGAAAGCACTCCTAAGTGCAAGTAGATAAATAGGTACCGCTTTATAGCGGGAAGGTAAACGGCGTTTCCGTGTGCTGCGCTGGTGCTGGCTCGCCAGAGCAGCTTCGTCACACTGGCCACGCGACCCGGAAGTGTCTCTGGACAGTGCTGGCTCCCGGCCTCTTAAGTGAGATGGGCGCACAACCCTAGAGTCGGACACGACTGGCCCGTACGGGCAGGGGTACCTTTACCTTTACCTTTATGTGTATATTAGGAGAAACTTGCACTAAAATACTGCTGAAGTTTCAGGATTAGAGAGAGAGAACACAAACAGATGTGGAATGTGGAGATCTGAACTTTAAATTGGAAAAGTGAGAAAGTGAGAGAAACCTAAATTGGCAGATTCACCCATCCCTGATCACTACCAACTATATCTGTTTCAGGCTGCAGCTGTTCTCTCCCTCTGGCCGTTCCAGCGGGATAGCTTTTAAGCAGTCATTAACTGGCTCCGTTCAAGGGGAACAAAAACAGCTTCCCCTTTATTGTCAAAAAGGTGCTGAGGGTCAGAGCCCTTGCGTAATGGTGGATCCTCTGAGAAAAGTTCTTTTCCTTTTCATGCAGCCTTCACACAAAGCCGAAGCAGCAACAGCTGAAGAGCCCATCTTAAAACCTGCACCCACTGTGCAGAGCGGCTTTGTTTGAAAGGTTGCCATCTGCAGGAAACAGGGTCATCCTTGCCTTGGACTCACCCGTCTCAAAGCTGCCAGAGCACATTCCGCACTGTTTCAGCCCCAAGAGGGAGCAGCCAAGTAGCACCACGGAATTCCATTGCTTTTTCCCAAGAATGCACCACATCTCCCAATCTCCCAACAGCCAGATGCTGAATGACCTTCAGCGCTGGCATCAAAAATCCTGCATGTGCTAGATACAGAAATCTGCCTGTGCCTTGTTTCCACAAGAAAAAGCAAAGAGGAAACATGCAGCAGCTTTGATCACACCAACCTTCTGCTGATGGATGTTGCCCAGCAGCAGCAAAGAGTTGTTCCATGCGTTACGCAGAACGAGTTGGCAGACTTCTGGACTGTACCATTGAACAGTAGATGGGGTCATTGCCAATGTTCCCTCATGTACAGAAACTCTCTGTACACCATGAACTAGCACGTCAGGGGGAAAAGAGTAGGGCAGCCCTCTCTGGGATCTAGGAAGCTTTCCAAGTGAAGCAGTTCAGGAAAATATGACCCCTCCATCAACAGTCTGATGTGATTCAGTCTAACATTATACCACCTCAAGATTTGCAATCGGTAGAATGTCTCTAAATCTTTGGCCTCCATCCGCATTATACATTTAAATCTGTATCATAGCACTTGAAAAAGTCACATATTCCCTTGTTCCCTCACAGGGTTATAGTTCCCAGAGTTCCCTGGGAAAAGGAATTGACTACTGAACCACTCTTAAGAATTGTAACTCAGGAGAGTTAGGATCTCGTAACAAGCCTCAGTGAGCTTAACAAACTGCAATTCCCAGGATTCTTGGGGGAATCCATGCCTGTTTAAAGTGGTTTGATACTGCTTTCAGTGTATAGTACAGATGAGCATGGGCATTACATTTCCAAAGCAAGAAGAGCCAAACTCCTATTTTTGTCCCCAAATGCCCAGTGCTTTCCTTACATGAAGAGCAGCACGGGGCCTTACTTTGAGCAAGGATGCCAAATGTCATGTTAAGTTACAAGGTGGAAGCATTTAATTGTGGGGAGACTTCATGCTGACCCTTTTGCTAGAAGTGTCAAGCTGGAACTTTAACAAAGTGAATCTGCCTTTCTTAAGGCTGAATCTAGCCTAGTTTCTCAACTGAATTCTCAAATAAGAAGTTATTCCCCCCCCCCAACACCAAGTTAATTCAGGATATAATTCTGAGTCATTTGGACATTGGGGGCCTTAGAAAAGAAATTTGAGGACCACACAGGTTTTGATGCAGGAGGAAGCTCGTTACAAGCCCGTTGTGCACTAAATGTAAAGGAAGGTGTTGGACCAACATTCACTAAACTGATGCACTGGATGGTGCTGATGGGAGTTGTAGTCTGAAACATCTGGAGGGCACTTGATTGCCAAAGTTGCATTAGACAAACCAGGACTGACCTTCTAATGGTGTATAGACTACTACATGGGTAACCAACACCATGTTGGCTGCCATTGGAGTACTAACTTTTACAGCAGAAATGAGCAGGCTCTAGGACTTGAAGGTTCCACTAAAATAGAGACTGGGTTTTTGAGTGCATAGGTGGATAAAGGAATAGGGTGCCCCTGTATTGGGATGCAGGTGGCACTGTGGGTTAAACCACAGAGCCTAGGGCTTGCCGATCAGAAGGTCGGCGGTTCGAATCCCTGCGACGGGGTGAGCTCCCATTGCTCGGTCCCTGTTCCTGCCAACCTAGCAGTTTGAAAGCACATCAAAGTGCAAGTAGATAAATAGGTACTGCTCTGGCGGGAAGGTAAACGGCGTTTCCGTGCACTGCTCTGGTTCACCAGAAGTGGCTTAGTCATGCTGGCCACATGACCCGGAAGCTGTACGCTGGCTCCCTTGGCCAATAAAGCGAGATGAGCGCCACAACCCCAGAGTCGGCCACGACTGGACCTAATGGTCAGGGGTCCCTTTACCTTTACCTTTACCTTTAAGCACATGTTAAGCCCAGGATTTTGTTGTCAGTACCACGTCAGTCCTTGCAACTTGCAACTGCTTGTGTGCTTTTCTGAGGGCATACAGGGGTGGAAAGAGGAAAGTGTGTTGTATGTTAAAGCCTTCTCTATATAAAAGAATTTTACTGGGAGATAAAATGTTCAGTTGATAGACAGTACATCTCAGGATGGTCCTGATTAAGCAAAAGTGAGGAAGGAACCACATGTTACGGAGGCACACCCTTGTCTCACAAATATGTACACTCCAGTTAACACAAATGCAAGGGTGAGGAGGAGCATGTGCAGTAAAGAAGTGGCAGCTTGGAGGGGTGCATAACTCTCCACACCTCTCCACTGTCATCCGCTTCCAGCCCCTGGAATATTAGCATGTATGATCAACATAAGCGGCTTTATAGTACTGGTCCTACTAGCATAGCCCTGTCTGCACTAGCTGAGGGCAGCTCTCCAGGGTTTCAGGTGGGAGTCTTCTTCAGACGTACCTGGAAACTGAACCCTGGGACTGTTCACATGCAAAGAATGCATTCTGCCATTGAGCTATGGCCCTTCCCCAGAGGTCCGAGAACCCAATCTTTGCTCCCCAACACACATGCTTCTCCTACTACATGCTGAATCCCATTAATTTCAGAGGAATCCAACTCTCACTGCTTAGGAGACAGGGGTGTAAATTTACATGTGCCTCCTGCACTAACTTGTTCTTTGGCTTCCAGTATTTAACCACTGGAACAACTAGCAGGATCATGCCTGCTGGTGTAAGATTCAGAATGAAATGTGATATACAGTTAGGGCTGCCGGATAGTGTTACTGCCAAGCATTGGAGCAACGTGCGCATTACAATGGATAGCGAGGATAGTTCCTGGAACTCAGTGTAAGTATTTAAGTATTTCTGTCCTCTTGAACAGGAACAGTTGACTAGAGTATCCACTAGCAATGCTGCATCTTTCAACCTCCCTTCCTCCCTCCAACTCTATTCTATAGAGCTGAGGTTTGCTTTCCGAAGCAGCTTGTCACGCAAGCTCCACCTGCTGAAATCTCTTCTGCACAACTATTAAAGGTGCAGGAGTCCTGTCCTTTTTGGCTTCTGGCCATCCTAGTTCTCTTCTCACTGTCCCTGGAAATGCCAGAGATTGAACTCAGAACCTTCCCCATTAAAGCATATTCTCTGCTATCCTGATACGGCTCAATGCAAGCGTGCCCTAGTGAGAGATGGGAAGGTGTCAAGCTTAAGGCTTAGGTGCTCACCTTTTACTACCAGGTAGCATGGGGAACTAGATTCCTTCTGCTTTCGGCAGCAATCTATGTTCCCGAGTATCTCCTTTGCTGCCAGGGAGCATGGGAAATATTGATTATGATGCATTCCAGTTCAATTCACTGAGACAAGCAAGGACTGGGAATTCCATTTTCCATGCGTCCCAGTGGCAAGATTAGTACTGGAGCCTAAGCTTGAGGCCTCTCCAGTGCTTTTTATAAACTATATAGTGATTTGAACTTTAAGGATGGATAAGCCATTATGAAGAATGTAGGGCTTTTAATTGGTGCACAGTAATTAGAGCTACAATCCTAAGCACAAAGTCTTGGGTAGAATTGGAATACAAGGGTGATATGAAAGATTTAGCAAAATAATAACATCTGCTGGATATTCTCTTAGTTTTTTGGGATGGAAAGTTGCAATTTTGATTCAGCGGAAATATTTTCTGAAGTTCTACATACTGCCATTATTTCCCCTGGCTGCTATAGCTTCAGCATCATTCCTGTCCTCCCCACTCTCCGAGTTGCTACTTTTCCTTTCTTCTTCGGTAACACATGGTTTTTAAGGGATCACATGGTGAAGAGGATGGCACTAGAATGTCATGTATCCAATCAGATTGATGGCAACTGAGAGACGAAGGGCAAATGGAACATAAGAAGAGGCCCTGCTGGATCAAATCAAAGGCCCGTCAATATTCTTGCATTCTTTTTCACAAGGAATGCCAAAAAAATACCATAGGGGAGATGTTTTTCAGCTTTTCCAAAAGTGCTTATAGAAACTGAGTAGCCAAAGCATGGGAAAGCCACCAATATCTTTGTAGAATATATACCGTATTTTTTGCTCTATAAGACTCACTTTTTCTCTCCTAAAAAGTAAGGGGAAATGTGTGTGCGTCTTATGGAGCGAATGCAGGCTGGTCAGCTATCCCAGAAGCCAGAACAGCAAGAGGGATTGCTGCTTTCACTGCGCAGCAATCCCTCTTGCTGTTCTGGCTTCTGAGATTCAGAATATTTTTTTTTCTTGTTTTCCTCCTCCAAAAACTAGGTGCGTCTTGTGGTCTGGTGCGTCTTATAGAGCGAAAAATACAGTAGATCATACATTCATACCATACTCACATACCACTTTTAACAGTCATGGACAATCCTGGGAACTGTAGTTAATTAAGAGGGTTGGGAATTGTAGCTCTGAGTTCAGCATCTTTAACAAACTAAGGTTCCCAGGTTCCTCTGGGGGAAGTAATGATTGTTAAAGTGGTTTCATAATGCTTTAAATGTGTGGTGTGGATATGACCTTATCAGCTTTGGGAATGTTAACACTGTCTATGAGCATGATGCCATACACTTAAAGCAGAGACAGTAGAAATTGCTTTAGCTTTGATGCCTAGTTCCTTGATCCAATAGCTGTAATGTGATATTTAATCACTGTTTCCCTGTTTCATGTGCATGAACCTTGAGTCACCTTAGCATGAAAGCCAGTATGAAGCCATGGTACATATAATAAATCCACAAGTAAAACAAGCTGTTGGGTGGGGAGAGGTACTGGGGAAATATGCGTAAATATAATCACATCCATATTATTATATACACTGAAACTGAGCCAACTGTCTACAAGTAATGAAATACACAGTAGGTATTCCGCTTTCTTTTTCTGAATAATCGCCTTATCCAAACATGTAGCTGACAAACACATAATGGCCTGGAAGCAACAAAGGTTTCCATGGAAAAGGAAATGCTAAACTGTGCTCAACCCAAGAGACGGCTGAGGTTCCTTTCTTAGACTGTATTACGCAACTGAGCAAAGGCATCCAAATGTTTTGGATCAATGAGCCTGTGTCAATTTTCAACGTATTTTGTTGTGTCTCGGTTTATAGAGTTTGTTTGCTGAACTCACTTCCTGATTTACAAAGCATGGATCCAACTGGGAAGGGAGTTTTATTTTCAGGCCATGGCGGGACATTGCTTGGTGATGTTATCACCAAGGAACCGTTTTCAAGGACAATACTCAGAGTAGATCAGTTGAAATCAATTAACCCAAGTTAGTCATGTCCTTTAACTTCAGTGGGTCTGCTTTGAATAGGACTAGCACTTCAGTGAAGCCCAATTGTGTCTCCCTTCCCTAAAATAAGGGGTGGTGGTATACCTTTCATAGAGTTAAACCTATATCATCTTTCTTTGGTTCACAGCATTATTATTAAGCTTAACAAAGCTTCCAGATTGGCAGATGTTGTTGCATGGCAACGAAAAGGAGGATGAGCCACACCTGCCATTTTCAATCCCTAAAAGCCAGGGGTGGGGATTGAATGCTGCATGTCCGTGTCATTCTGCTCACACTGCTTTTAACCATGACATGATGCTCTAGTCAGAGAGCAGGTGAAAAGAGAGGCGAAAGAAGCTGCCTTATACTGAGCTAGATCCTTGAGCCATCTAGCTGAGTCTTATCCACACTGACTGGCCCTCCAGGGTTTCAGATAAGCTTGCATTTGATTGAGCCTGGGGCCTCTTGCATGCAAAGGAGATGTTCTACCACTGAGCTACAACTCTTCCCAGGGTTTCTATGTCCCTCATGCTGCTGCTCCCAATGACACGAGAGTGCAGGTGTCAGATCAGTCAGCTGCAGAATTTTGATCTAATGGAGAACCAGTCTATTGTAGACCATGGCCAACAAATCACTGCAAGAAAAACATCACCATATAATAAACACTGTATATAGTAAGCCTTCGACTAATCCTGACGAAAGCCTGCAGAACAGGTTTGAATTGTGTACCTTGTTTTGCAGCTGAGACAACGGTCGGAAGGTCAGTTACTCCAGCAGAATCCTTCTGATTAGGAGCTACGAGTATCATGGCCAGCGTGGGATTAAGTGGCCTGCTCATTTATATACAGATATTCAACATGGGGGCTGGGTTAGGGGCCCACAGTAGATAGTTGCTATACTGATTATGGGAGCTGTATACTACTGAAAAACGGATTGAGGGTATCCCTGTATTTGAAGAGTGAAAGGTTCTTAGATGCCATTTCTGTGATAAGACCCACAAAAAAGCTTGGGGAAAGTGTGAGCAAAATTCAGGTCCAGCTTAGGACCGGTTTATAAATTCTCCTAGGTGTAAAACAGTGGCCTGGGGGAAAAAAAGAATATTTTCCCAAAAATAATTACCATTATTCATCCAAAATCCCATGCTATTCCGCGCTCGCGCCCCTGAGGTAGATGCCAATTTGGAGGAAGACAATGCAAGAGAGAGAGAGAAAGAAAGTGGTTGGTATTCAATGCCTGCTATTCTTTCAAACAGGTCTACCCAGCAGGGCCTGTTCAGGTCAAATAGTGCACATTTGCCTTTAAACCTACATCCTTGCTTGGTCATGCCAAGCCTGGTTCGGGTCAGGATAGTAGCCTATGTTACACATGCCTCTGATCATGTGTCGGCCATCCCTCTGCCCTCAGCACTCTTGAAGCATGCAGGCGGTGGTAGCTGCTGGCGGCCGCGGCGAACCACATTTCTCTGAGGTGATAGGTTTCCCTGTGTAGTCAACGCACAAGGGGCTTCGTGTCCGCATTCCCTCTCCACACGTTTGAGAACAGGGGGACCAAGGCCCCATCTGCCAGATGGGGCACGGGAAGTCACTGCAGGGCTTGATGTCCTCAGGCTTGAGGGATTTGTTGCAGGCTGAGGAGGCCTGCCCTTCCACATCCAGACACTCCACCGCTCGTCTCTGCCAGCCAGAGCCACACGATTTCGAGCACTCGGACCAGTCTCCCAGGACCCACTGTGATGTTAGCATGGGCTTGATTACGTTGGCCAAGTTCTTCTCCTTGCTCTTCTGTTTGCTGAAGTGGACGTCCTTGGGGATAAAGAAGGTGTATCTCACCCTTGGGGGGAACAGCTCAGCGGAAACGGTCAACACCTGGACAGTAAGTGGCTCCGGGAGCTTCTGGAAACTTTGGATGCGTTCCAGGGTGGTAAGAGAGCCACTATATCTCAGTACAGTCCCCTTGATGAAAATGTCTTCTTCCATAGCTGAAATGGCAAGGTTTCCATTCAAGAGGTATTTGCCATCCAGGGTTTTCAGGGCTAAATAGTTTTGGTCAGGCCACACCCCTCGGCGACCGTGTTGCTTGATGTCAATATTGGTTGCTCCTGCGGGGATTGTGACAATGTCGTTATATCCAAATCTGTGGAGACCAAAGAGACGTGTTTGTTTGTTATATTAATACTGTGGTGGCCTCTGGCTTTAAACAATAAAAAGTCTCATTCATTCATTCCTCCATGGTCAGATAATTTTGTTACGTCCGTGGTTTTTAAAGACTTGTTTTTATTTCAAATTTTAAATAATTATTTCATACCATTTTATGCAAATGCTTTTAAAAATTAAGTGGCATGAAATAAATATTTCCAAATAAATAATAAAATAAATCATGAATGTGTATTCTATCTACCACAGAATGAAATTGGCTTAAGTTGTCATCTCTCCCAAGCTACCCCTAGACACTGTGGCTATGTCAGGGGACAAAGGACCGCTAAGGGAATGCCTAGCACCCTCACCAAACCTGTAAGTCCCAGGATTCGTGGAGGTGGGGGAGAGAGAGGTGATAATTCAGAAGCAGTTAGGGCTGTTGCTGCATCAGGTACAGCATCCTAGAAATGTAGCAGAAGCTAGAGAGACACTTCATTTCCCAAGAAAAGAGGGAATTGAACAGATAGGGCAAAAACAATGTGTTTTGATCATAAATGCAATGCCTTTTTTTTTTTTTAACAATTCCTTTATATATTCCTATCTCAAATGCCTGGATGAAGTATTGAAAGAATATTGCTATCTGCCTGAACCTCAAGGTTTGTATCTCACTAGAGAACTAGGCTGACATATCCTTAACAATGGTAGCTGGCAGATCCTTGTTCTTGCTTGCGCATCAGAGCTGTTTCTGGATTCCCCAGCTCAGTTACGCAGCCCATGCCCCATTGGTAGGAACATACACTGAATGGCAGCAGCTCTCCTGGGCTTTAGGTAGGGTTCTCTCCCAGCCCTACCTGGAGATACTGGGAAGTGAACCTGGAATCTTCTGCATGCAAAGCAGATGCTGTCACTGAGCTGCTGCTGCTGCTGCTGTTATTATTATTATTATTATTATTATTAATAAGAATAATAATAATAATAACCTACTTCACAGCAGAAAGCCATCAAAATAGCATACAAAATAAAAGTGGAATAATACACAAGCTCTCAAAACAATAACACCATTCCTACAAACTCCAGAAACAGCACAACAAATTTCTTCAGCTACAAAATTGATATTCCATAAAGGACCATGGCCCCTTCTGCAAAGAGACCCTCCCCTGTCCTCAGCAGGGAAACTGCTTTATACATCGGTTGATCTATCTTATTACTGTTTGCACTGATGGGCAGTGCCTCTCGAGGGATACAGACAGGGAACATTCCTAGCTGTGCCTGAAGACGCCAGGAACTGAAACTAGGGCCTTCTACATGCAAAGCTACGAGCTTTCCCCTTTGATCTATGATTTTTGTGCTTCTGCAGCACCATCTTTAAATCCAGCTCCAGAACCATAATAAACAAGCAATCAGGTCAGCCATCGCCTCCTATGCAGTCTTCCTCTGGTCTACCCCCGCCCTCGCCCAACCATCTCCCTCCTTCGCAATACTAGGATTGGCTCAAGCTGCCCTGGTCTGCCTCGTACTTAGATTTGTTGAGTGAGCCAGATATTTTCTTGCAAGTTGAGCCGTTGCCACCACAAATCCCACACTTGTCTAACTTCTTGGGCGAGCCAATGATGTGGTCACAGCCAGCCTTGATGCACTGCCCACTCACACAAACAGAGAGGGTGTCGGGTGCACAGAGGGTCCCATCAGCTACCTGAAACAAAAACAAAGCGAGAGCAAAGTGAGGTTCCGTTGCCCTTCTCTGTGATACCATGATTTAGAACAGGCATTCCCAAACTTGGCCCTCTAGATGTTTTGGGACTACAACTCCCATCATCCCTGACCACTGGTCCTGTTAACTAGGGATGATGGGAGTTGTAGTCCCAAAACATCTGGAGGGCCGAGTTTGGGGATGCCTGATTTAGGATAACCCCAGTCTGCTAAAATGTACATACAGTTTGCACATAATTCATTTTTTTTTTTTTGCTTTTTCGTTTAGTTGCAAAAAGAAGCTCAAATGTGCTGTAACTAGAATATTAAGAAAAGTGAATAAGATGGATTATAACTGGAAATTGTTTTAGTTTAATAATGATATTGGAAAGCTGTTACTTTCAACTACAAGGAAACTCAGAAGGGAGGGACTAGAGGAAGTCAACCAAGATGTTTAAAAGGTTGAATTTGTAAAGAATTAAGTTTGTTGTTATTGTTTATTGGTTTATTGTTCCTTTTTTCTTTTTTCGTTCATTGATCTATTCCCCCCCCCCGTTTTTTCCCTGTTTTTGTGTGTCATTCTGCTTTGTGTTTTTTGTTATAATTGTGGAAAGTCGAATAATATTTTTTTTTTTAAAAGTGCTGTAACTGCTCGAAGGGATTTTGAGGTTACTTTCAGAGCAAAGAGCAAGTCTTACTTTGGACTCAAACACTTTGAATTGACGGGTTCCCCCTTTAGCCCGGCAGAACAGCTTGCAGCGGTCTCGAGGTGACACGCCTGTGTACATGGGGACCCACTCCAGCAGATTCCCGTTTGTGTCTGTATAGTTGTAACTGTCATACTTTTCACACTGTTGCTCTCGAAAACTCTTGCCTGCAAAGGAAAGGAAAGGCATCTGATTGCACATGAAGACATGGAAGCCCAGAAAAACAGCTATAGCCATCCTGGCTAGTAGCCATTGATAGCTTTCTCCTCCGTGAATTCTCCTCATCCTCTTTTAAAGCCATCTCGGGTTCTCTGTGACATGCTTCTGTAGCAAGTCCTGATCTTATTCATGTTAAAGGGCATAGCTAGACTGCAGCCATCGGTCGCGTTCACATCATACATTGGAAGCGCCATGTTATCACGTTAGACCAGAGCTTTCCAAACTTTTCATGTTGGTGACACACATTTTAGACATGCATCATTTCACGACACAGTAATTCAGTTTTACTAGCAAACCGGAGGTTAAACTAACCCCTTTTCAGCCCCTGGAGGAGGACGGGGAGCGCTTGCCCGACACACCTTCACACTGCAGCCAACACATGAATGCATTGCTACACACAGTTTGGAAAGCTCTGTGTTGGACAGTCACAGCTTCCCCCAAGGAATTCTGGGAGCTGCAGTTTGTTAAGTGTGTTGAGTGTTATTCGGAGACTCCTATTCCCCTCCCAGAGCTACAATCCTCAGAGTGGCTTAAAAAGCAATCCCTTCTCCCAGGGAACTTTGGGAACTGTAGTTCTGGGAGGGCAATAGGGATCTCCTAGCAACTCTTAGCAGTCAATAGCAGACTACAGCTCCCAGAATTCTTTGGGAAAAACCATGATTGTTTAAAGTGATACCATACTGCTTTAATTGTATTGTGTGAATTTGGCCTTAAACTAAGTTAATAGTCATTCTGTCATTCCAGGTACACCAGGTATTGTAGTTTTCTGGAGGGGCAATATTAATGATCTCTAACAGGTCATTCTCTGCATCCTGACTAGACTAAAAATCCCAGGATTCATGACAGATAAAGCAATATAAAACTGACAAATGTCCGCAGTGTAGTTAACCCTTACAATATATTAGCTGATATCTTAATGGCTTCCTGCCCATCCTTACAATGGTTGCATTCTTGTCACAAGCTATTTCCCTTTGGTTGGGGTGGGGTCAGCTCTGCTTCTTCCTTCTGGAGTCAGTGGGAATTAAGGTTTGCCGGGAAACAGCTGATTACCATTCGGTGGGCATTCCTCAGTGTGGCATGATTCATACTTGACTCTTTGGCCTTCGCAGTATTTGCCTCCATTCTTAGGTGTGGGGTTGTCACACCCTCTTTCAGAGAAATGCACTCCTCCACCACATGTCCTGGAACATGGCCTCCATGGGCTCCAGGGCCCCCAGTTTCCATCCACTGCCGGCTGCAAAATACAAATCCCTGAGTTAAGGCCCTGATTCCAGCTGATTTGCCATTGGGAGGCTGCCCCAGCCCCCGTCATCATGGCAGAGAGAAGACCAGCTTGCCCCCATCCATTGGCCAGCAATGGGGAAGTTGCTCCAATGCTGGCTTTCCCTCTTCCCTCCCGGTCCTCTTTCCTTTTGTATCATGTCTACTGGATTTGTATAGCAATTAGAAATTTTTGCATGCTTTAGTTAAATATAAGATGATGATGATGATATCAGGCATGAAGGGAAGATACACAATCCCTGTATATTTTTCCACGTGAGTGGGAAGGTGTTCCTGTGTTTATAATTCTGAAATGGCAGAAAGAGAAAGGGGTACACACCCTGTTTGGAGGAGAGGTCATAGAAACTGTGTTATTCAAGTGTTATTTGGCCTTTAGTAAGAGGTGGGCTGCCTGCTTCTCACTAGATGATTACCTCAGGCATCACTGTGTCTTGGGCCACACAGTGTCCATCCAAACACATCTTCTCTGCCCCACAGGGTGTCCCATCTGCCCAGGGCAAGCTGCCATTCCTGGTGTGGCACAGGCGCTCCCCTGCCTCCAGCTTACACCAGAGCTGGGAACAGATGTCCTCCTGCGTGGTGTTTGGGCAGTGTCGAAACTCCTTGCCAAAGATCTGCTGGCACTGATGATCAAGGTTGTATAGGGGGACTTGGCCTGGAAGGTCTGTGGGGAGGGCAATGGGTTCGGCAGGTTTGTCAAGCAGGCAGTCACCTGGTGAGGGAGAGAGGTAAAGAAGGTTACACCAAAGGCTACTTTTTATTCATTTCAATAATGAATAATAAGGATTTCAAAGGATGGTTGTATTTTGGCTTGCATATTGTTTAGGAAAGTGTGAATCAGGTAGGTATGGCTTTAAATGTGTACTGAATCAGCTTCCCAGCTACTGTACAGCCAAAGTCAAATTGCATACATAACAAAAGAAGCCTGTATTCCAATTGGAAATATCACCAAATCTAGAGAAGCTAAGGATTTCCTTGCATAAGAACAACATGCTGGATCAGACCAATGACCCAATGAGTCCAGCATTCTGTTCTAACAGTGGCCAAGTAGATAGATGCCTGTGGGAAACTCACAAGCAAGACTTGAGCACAAGGGCACTTTCCCCTCCTGTGGTTTCCAGTAACTGTGTTCAGAAGCATTGATACCTCCAACCATAATGGCTAATAGCCACCCATTCTCCTCCATAAATTTGCCCAATCCTCTGTTTTTTAATTTTTAATTTTCAATGCAAAATTACAACAAAAATTACAAACATAAAATCCAGAAAAAACAAACAAAAATAAAGCAAAGCAAAACAAACAGAAACAAACACACACACACACACAAACCTACAGAGAAAACCATGTCATCATCATAATCTTTACGTACATATACACATATTGACTTCCGTACATATACACATATTGACTTCCTTCCTCTGTTTTGAGACCTCAAAATTTTTAATCTTTCTGAATTGTTGTATCTAATGTAAATTACCTCTATCTTTATACCCTTTGCACCGTTTTTCAATTTCTTTAACCCTGCAAAGCTTCATTTGTTACATACCGATATACTTACTCCAGAACAATGTTTTTTCATATATTCTTTAATACAATCTCATTCTTTTGCTAATTTTTTGGTCTGATTGTCCCCTTAAGAATATAGCTGTTAACTTTTCCCTTTTCTTGCAAGGAATCCTATTCGGAATAAGGGAATTTCCCTTAAAAAAAGGGAAATGTTGACAGCTATGCTTAAGAATGCTGTGAATCTTGCCAAATTTATATATTCACAAAGTTTAATTTGCCATTCTTTTATTGATGGGGTTTTTTTTATTGATGCGGGGGGGGGGGCGGGGGCGGGAAATGCCCAATCCTCTTTTAAAGCCATCCAAGCTGGAGGCCATCTCTACCTTCTGTGGGAGCAACCTTCACTGTTTAACTATGCGCTGCATGAAGAAGTACTTTGCTTTACCTGTCCTAAAATCACAAAACTGTAGCACATGAAAAGTTGCAAAAGTGTTCAGATTCTGACACATGGCCTATCTTGAGTTTGGCATTGACTAAATGCCTTGTGTAACTGAAGAGGGAGAAACCACAATATTGTCAGAGGAGGGTGTACCCTGAGATGTAATCATGACATTACCAAGGAGTTTCTAATAGCCATTCTCAAAAGATGGATGGGCATCAATGGACTGTCCCAGCAGACATCTGAAAAGGATAGCAAGTTTGATACCTACCATGCCCTCCATCCAGAAATTCTGTGATATGCATGGCACTGCAAGGGGACCATGGCAGAGTCTTGTTTAAGTGGATGAACAGAGGGGCCATCATATGATGCTTCCCTAAGGTCCCAAAGTTCTTCTCACAGGCCTTGGAATCGTCATGAGGCATGCTGAGTACATGCCCTGGAATGAAAGAGCATAGAAACAGGAGGTGAATGAGCTATTCCTGCCTTTCTGAACTGATAATTGTCGTTGGAGATGGCTTCATTGCCCTGAATTCCTTTGCAACATCTTTCCCATCCCCAAACAAAGTGCTGTAATACCCTAGTAAACTTCTTTCCAAGTCTGCCATCTGAAAGCTGTGCTCACCCTGTACAAAAAAAGGCACTGAAAATAAAAAGTTACCCTAAAACAAAGCTTCGATTTTCAGTGCCATGATCCCCAATAAATGGTAAATGGACCCCTGACCATTAGGTCCAGTCATGACCGACTCTGGGGTTGTGGCACTCATCTCGCTTTATTGGCCGAGGGAGCCAGCGTACAGCTTCCGGGTCATGTGGCCAGCATGACTAAGCCACTTCTGGCGAACCAGAGCAGCGCACGGAAACGCCGTTTACCTTCCCACCTATTTATCTACTTGCACTTTGACGTGCTTTCGAACTGCTAGGTTGGCAGGAGCAGGGGCCGAGCAACACTCACCCCGTCGCGGGGATTCAAACCGCTGACCTTCTGATCGGCAAGTCCTAGGCTCTGTGGTTTAACTCACAGCGCCACCTGCGTCCCTATGATCCCCATTATGCAATAAGAAAAGCTGAATTTTGAAACCTACATTTTGCAAAGCTGCAGGTTTTTCTATTTTGCTGCACTCTTCTGCAACATTTGCATACTGCGTAGTTTATTCTGCTTTTGCTAGTTAATTATACAACAGTGCACATGGCAATGAAAAACTTGTTCAGCAACTACTTGGGAAACGACTGTAGCTCAGTGATTGAGAACATGCCATGCAGGCGGAGAGTTTCGGGTTCAATTCTCATCACAGGACTGGGAAAGTTTTTTGGCAGCCACTGCCAGTCAGTGCAGACAATACTGAAGCAGATGACCAGTGTTCAGACTCTGTAAAAGACAGCTTCTGAGATTCCATTGGCTTCCTAAGTTTTGGCAGTCATTGCTTAAATATATGCAAGCTTATATTTCCAACTATGAGGGCTAGAAAAGGGTGGTGGTGTTCTTTTTAAGAATGGCACTATGATGGGCTTCCTCCCCTTGCTGTGCACATCAATATGGGCATGGTAACTACCTAGTTCATGGGCCAAGGTGTAGGCTGCCTGGAGACCCTCATCTTCGATCACAGAACAGCTCTTGTTTGGGTTGCACATGGTGCCTGTCTCAGCCACTCCAAGGGTCCTGCAGCCCTGGTGTCCACAGAAATCCTGTGAGTGAGAAAATGAAACAGAAACTAGTACACAAAGGAAACGGAGCCACCATCATCCCCAATGGACCTCTCACCCAGCAATATAAATGAACAGACCATTCCACACTTGAAAGGAACTGATGTTTCAGTGGGGCAGCACCTGCCTTCTGGAACTGCCTTCCCCTTGACATCAAGGCAATCAGTATTTTAATGCTGGTTCTAAATGTGTTTTTATTGTATTATAACTATTGTTTTTAACTACTTTGTTTTTATTACTTTGTGTTTTAAAATTGTAAGTTGCCTTGAATCCCAGCTTGGGATTTTAAAATTTTTTATAGCCCTGAGGTTTTTCTTAGGTCAACTTGTTTTTTTAACTTCTGGTTTTTACCAATAATTTTAATGTATATTTTATGTAAACCAGATTTTTTTTAAAAAAAACCCACACCAATTAAGCGGTATACAAATCCTGTTTTTTAAAAGCAAATAGTGAGGAGGCCCACCTAATAGCTATTCTTTTCTCTTTTCAGTGCCAGGGAAAGACCTCGTCATTCTCCAAGGGCTTTTGGAGCTTCTTAGAATTTGTTGATTCTTTTAAGCCACTGTGAGGGTTTTTTCATAGAATTGCAGAATTTTAGATTTGGACGGTACGTCTCAAGGGTCATCGAGTCCAACTGCCTGGAATGCAGGAATCACAGCTCAAGAGTTCCTAGCAAATAGCCTCCAGTCCACCACTCTCTCCCTTCCTCTCTTTGTGATTTGTTGTATGTTTCAGTTGCTGGCTTTGCTATATTATTTTATCAAACGGTATTGCTTTCAGTCTTCCTGTTAGTCCAGCCTTCTAAACAAACCCTTATGTCAGGCATCCCCAAACTTGGCCCTCCAGCTGTTTTGGGACTGCACTTCCCATTATCCCTGACCACTGGTCCTGTTAGCTAGGGATGATGGGAGTTGTAATTCCAAAACAGCTGTAGGGCTGAGTTTGGGGATGCCTGCCTTATGTATTTGGGGTGTGTGTGTGTCATCCCTAATACAGTGGTACCTCTGGATGCAAACGGATCTGTTCTGGAGCCCTGTTCACATCCTGAAGTGAACGCAACCTGCATCTGCGCATGTCGCGATTCGTCGCTTCCGTGCATGTGCATGATGTCATTTTGAGCATCTGTGCATGCGCGAGCGGTGAAACCTGGAAGTAACATGTTCTGTTACTTCTGGGTCACTGCGGAGCGTAACCTGAAAACGCTTAACGTGAAGCATATTCAACCCGAGGTATGACTGTAGATATTTACTGCAAGTATACTCTTATCTCAAACATTTTGATATGAATGCAGATGCTGTTTCCCACTTTGCATACAGTTCAGACTTCTAACGGGCATTTTTCTGGTTGCCTGTTGCAAAGAGGAAAAAATGGCAATGTAACAAAGGGTGCTCCCAGATGACCTCTTTATTGAACCTTCACCCTGGTTTGTTTGCAGGGAGATTAGACAACGTTGGCCTCTGAGCAATTCTGTCTACACACCTGACTGCAAGCGTCTACACACCTGTCTCGTTAACAAGACTGCCGTGTCATAGTGCTCCGGGAGACGGTCACTTGCAGGGTTGAACTGCTGCTGCCACTCGCAGAAGTTCCTTAGCATGAGCCCTCCGTTGTCAGACACTTCTGGCCCAACCTTCTCATCTTCCACCACCACCACCTTCACCACCACCAAACTGATGGAGTTCTTCAGGCTGGGGTGCTTGTAGATCTGAGCAGCCACAGACATCAAGGTGAGGATGTGATTCTGAAACATAGAAGCAGCCAAGGAGGTTAAGGCAGGGGATGATATCTCATTCTTCAATCAGGGGGTGATACGCTGCATTCTACAGAGAGATCTATTTTGTTTTGGTTTTTTTCAAATTTTTTTATTGATTTTGACAAATATAACATATAAAACATACAAAAGAAAACACATTACAATATTAAAAAATGAAAAGAAAAAAGAAATAAAAATATAAACACATATTCCTTCTAAAGTTCATTTTAATTTCCATTGTTAAATGACTTTCTCGAATCCCCCTAACTGAATTTCATTATATCCCCTTGTAACAGCGCTCCTCTTCTTTCTAAAAATAAAATTAACTCTCAGTTTACTATCTTCTAGTCTTTTCTTGATGTTCAAAATCCATAATGCTTAACAAATCATTCTTATTTTATTCCTAAGCCTATTTAATATTTTCAAGCGACTTCAAATTATCTTATATTAAAATATTTGGCTAAATAGTCTTTAAATTTCTTCCAATCTTCTTGATACTCCTCTTCTTTCTGGTCGCGGCTAGCCCCAAAAAGTCCAACATCTTCACCTGCCATTCTTCTACTGTTGGTATTTCTTGAGATTTCCAATTTTTAGGTAATAGCAGTCTTGCTGCTGTAATGGCATACAAAAACAATCTAACATCTTTTTTGGGCAATTCCAATCCTATTATTCCAAGCAGAAAGGCTTCTGGTTTCTTAACAACAGAGGGATCTATTTTGAGGTTTTGGTTTGGAAGCTGTGAGCTGGTACAGAAGTAACCAAAATGCGTTACAAAAAGAGAGGGGCAAGTTGTGTTTTTGGTTGCTCTTAAATATTCCTTAGAGCAGGGATGGGGAATCTGTGACCTTCCAGATGTTGCTGGACTGTAACTCCCATCATCCCTGACCATGGACAGTCATGACAGCTGCTGATGGGAGTTGGAGTCAGCCATATCTGGAGTAAGAATTGTGCTTTACACAATGAATAGGGAGGTGAAGGAGTTACCACACAGACTGTATTTAAAATATTGATTCCAAGCCATTTTTGCCTCCACTCTAACTGAAAAGTAATTTAAAGTTTCAAAGAACGTGCGTACTGAGCTGTCAAAGAAAATATGTCCAGAGACATGTAACAGACAGCTTAATCCTGGGTGCAAATAATTTAAGCCACCCTTCTTTTTGTGACTTCCTTCCCACCCCTCCAAAACAATCCGGATAGGATTGTTTGCTTTGCAGAGGCACCTACAGCAAATGTTTGCCTTACAGAATCAATTTGCCTTCAGTAAAGAGGACTTTTCACTTTCCAGAAGCCTTTGTATGGCGACCCCCCAGTGAGATGCTCTCTTCTTTAATGACTCAACAGGATGCATTGTCTAGCCCAAGATAATCTGTTGAAACTTCATAAGGTAAAGGAACCCTGAACGGTAAGTCCCATCAAAGGCGACTATGGGGTGCGGCACTCATCTCACTTTTCTGCCTGAGGGAGCCGGCGTTTGTTCACAGACAGCTTTCCGGGTCGTGGCCAGCATGACTAAACAGCTACTGGCACATGGAGGGCTGTGATGAATGCCAGAGCACACGGAAACACCATTTACCTTTCCGCCACAGCGGTACCTATTTATCTACTTGCACTGGTGTGCTTTTGAAGTACTAGGTTGGCAGAAGCTGGGACAGAGCAACGGGAGCTCACACGGATTCAAACCACCAACCTTCCAATCAGCAAGCCCAAGAGGCTCAGTGGTTTAGACCACAGCGCCACCTGCATCCCTGAAACTTTGTGTCTGATACTAGATACTAGTTGCGATGGGAGAATCTGGCAATTTCAGTTCTCATTTTTCCAAACTTAAGCTTAGTTTTCACATTTTTATGTCAGTTTGCCATGATGATGATGATGATGATAATAATAATAATAATAATAATAATATCCTCCTGAAAATTAATCTATTTAGGTGCAAATTTCTCTGAATATACACATTTTCAATGCAATTTTGCCTAACTGTATTTTTGCCAAGCCATTCTCCCTAATATGCTTTTTGGTACAATATCTTCACTAATTTGTGCATTTCATGACATTTTACTCAAATATATGCTGCTTGGCTGGAGAACTGCATTGCAAAATTCAGATGTGCAAACTTTGAAGGATGTCTGTGTGTTGGGTCGGTCCACACATTGTTTCAGGTGAGTCTTGCATGTGAACTGAATTGAATTCCTCCCTCATCTCTAGCTACTAGTGACATGGTTTTCCCTACCTTGGCAAAAACAGTTGAACACAGCAAGAGAAATGAAAGGCATCAAAAGATAATTGACTTGACACCCCTAATCCCCCCTGATACTGATACCGTATTTTTCGCTCTATAGGAAGCACCCCACCATAGGACACACCTTGTTTTAGAGGGGGAGAACAAGAAAAAAAATTATCCCCCTCTCTGCGCCGCGCCCCTTAAGCGAAGCGGCAGGAGAAATGGAGCCCCTTCCAGTTCTCCTCCCGCTATGCTGAAGGGGTGCTGCACAGCTCTCCCTCTCCCACATTGCCTTCGCCGAAGCCTCCGGAAGTGCAGCGGGAGTGCTCCCACTGCGCTTCTGAGGCTTCGCGTTGCTATCGCTGAAGCCAAGGAGCCTGCATTCGCGCCATAAGATGCGCACACATTTCCCCTTAATTTTTGGAGGGGAAAATGTGCGTCTTATAGAGCGAAAAATATGGTAATTCTACTGTCTGAACTGCAATGTACCACAAGTAAGAGATCAGAAGCAGTTAAAAAAGAGAGATGGTTATAAGGGTTGCCAATATTAGGGGCTGTGGACACATTTGCAAAGCTGGGAAACTGTTGAGGGCACCACACACCCATACAAACACACACACACACACACACACACACACACACACACACACACTGCAACCTGTTCTATTGGCTGCAATAAAATGCTTCATTCGAGTCTAATTTCATTGTGTAGGAGGGGCTCTTATTGATTGGTGTTGACTTCAAGCCAGCATGGGATTAGCTACACTCCAGAGTTTCCAGTCAGGAACTCTGGAGCGTAGCTGATCTCTGCCAAAAATGGGGCTTGATTGGTGCTGACTTAAAGCCCCAAATTCAGCAGGGACAGGCTCCACTCAAGAGCTCCCAAGTGGAAGCAATCTCAGCAGGATTGCCTTTGGTGCCAAACTTAAACAGTGAGAAATACAAGCCTCACTTGCCAAAGAATAATCACAGCACAGCAGAAGAGGGCTGTTGCCTTCATACCCTGCTTGTGAGTTTTCCAGAGGCACCTGCATCTGTAAAGAAGGGCCATGATGACCCAGGGGCAGAGCATCAGCTTAGCATGCAGAAGCCCCCTGGTTCAGTCCTTGGCATCTCAAGGTAGGGTTGGGAGAGAACCCTGCCTGAAACTCTAGAGAATTGCTGTCAGGCATTGTAGACCAGGAAGCGAAAGGAAAGTCCAATGCTGTAAAGAAAAATATTGCATAGGAACCTGGAATGTAAGAACCATGAACCTGGGTAAGTTGGATGTGGTCAAAAATGAGATGGCAAGAATAAATATTGACATCCTGGGCATCAGTGAACTAAAATGGACGGGAATGGGCGAATTCAGTTCGGATGACCATCATATCTACTACTGTGGGCAAGAAACCCGCAAAAGAAATGGAGTGGCCCTCATAGTCAACAAAAGAGTGGCAAAAGCTGTACTGGGATGCAATCTCAAAAATGATAGAATGATCTCGATACTGAATCCAAGGCAGACCTTTTAACATAACAGTAATCCAAGTTTATGCACCAACTACTGGTGCTGAAGAAACTGAAATTGACCAATTCTATGAAGACTTACAACACCTTATTGAAGTGACACCAAAGAAGGATGTTCTTCTCATTATAGGGGATTGGAATGCTAAAGTAGGGAATCAAGAGATAAAAGGAACAACTGGCAAGTTTGGCCTTGGAGATCAAAACGAAGCAGGGCAAAGGCTAATAGAGTTCTGTCAAGAGAACAAGCTGGTCATCACAAACACGCTTTTCCAACAACACAAGAGACGACTCTACACGTGGACATCACCAGATGGGCAGCATCGAAATCAGATTGATTATATTCTCTGCAGCCAAAGATGGAGAAGCTCTATACAGTCAGCAAAAACAAGACCTGGAGCTGACTGTGGCTCAAATCATCAGCTTCTTATAGCAAAATTCAAGCTTAAACTGAAGAAAGTAGGAAAAACCACTGGGCTGGTAAGATACAATCTAAATCAAATCCCTTATGAATATACAGTGGAAGTGAGGAACAGGTTTAAGGATTTAGATGTGCTGGACAGAGTGCCTGAAGAACTGTGGATGGAGGCTCGCAACATTATACAGGAGGCAGAAACAAAAAACATCCCAATGAAAAGGAAATGCAAGAAAGCAAAGTGGCTGTCCAATGAGGCCTTACAAATAGCGGGGGAAAGAAGGCAAGCAAAATGCGAGGGAGATAGAGAAAGATACAGGAAATTGAATGCAGATTTCCAAAAAATAGCAAGGAGAGACAAGAAGGCCTTCTTAAACAAGCAATGCAAAGAAATAGAGGAAAACAACAGAATGGGAAGAACCAGAGATCTGTTCAAGAAAATTGGAGATATGAAAGGAATATTTTGTTCAAAGATTACCATAATAAAGGACAAAAGTGGTAAGGACCTAACAGAAGCAGAAGACATCAAGAAGAGGTGGCAAGAATACACAGAGGAATTATACCAGAAAGATATGGATGTCTCATACACCCCAGGTAGTGTGGTTGCTGACCTTGAGCCAGACATCCTGGAGAGTGAAGTCGAATGGGCCTTAGAAAGCACTGCAAATAACAAGGCCAGTGGAACTGATGGTATTCCAGCTGAACTATTTAAAATTTTAAAAGATGATGCTGTTAAGGTGCTACACTCAATATGCCAGCAAGTTTGGAAAACTCAGCAGTGGCCAGAGGATTGGAGAAGATCCCAATCCCAAAGAAGGGCAGTGCTAAAGAATGCTCCAACTACCACACAATTGCACTCATTTCACACGCTAGCAAGGTTATGCTTAAAATTCTACAAGGAAGGCTCAAGCAGTATGTGGACCGAGAACTCCCAGAAGTGCAAGCTGGATTTAGAAGAGGCAGAGGAACCAGAGACCAAATTGCAAACATGCGCTGGATTATGGAGAAAGCTAGAGAGTTCCAGAAAGACATCTACTTCTGCTTCATTGACTATGCAAAAGCCTTTGACTGTGTCGACCACAGCAAACTATGGCAAGTTCTTAAAGAAATGGGAGTGCCTGATCACCTCATCTGTCTCCTGAGAAATCTCTATGTGGGACAAGAAGCTACAGTTAGAACTGGATATGGAACAACTGATTGGTTCAAAATTGGGAAAGGAGTACGACAAGGCTGTATTTTGTCTCCCTGTTTATTTAACTTATATGCAGAATTCATCATGCGAAAGGCTGGGCTGGATGAATCCCTAGCCGGAATTAAGATTGCTGGAAGAAATATCAACAATCTCAGATATGCAGATGACACAACCTTGATGGCAGAAAGTGAGGAGGAATTAAAGAACCTTTTATTGAGGGTGAAAGAGGAGAGCGCAAAATATGGTCTGAAGCTCAACATCAAAAAACGAAGATCATGGCCACTGGTCCCATCACCTCCTGGCAAATAGAAGGGGAAGAAATGGAGGCAGTGAGAGATTTTACTTTCTTGGGCTCCATGATCACTGCAGATGGTGACAGCAGCCACGAAATTAAGAGACGCCTGCTTCTTGGGAGGAAAGCAATGACAAACCTAGAAAGCATCTTAAAAAGTAGAGACATCACCTTGCCAACAAAGGTCCGTATAGTAAAAGCTATGGTTTTCCCAGTAGTGATGTATGGAAGTGAGAGCTGGACCATAAAGAAGGCTGATTGCCGAAGAATTGATGCTTTTGAATTATGGTGCTGGAGGAGACTCTTGAGAGTCCCATGGACTGCAAGAAGATCAAACCTATCCATTCTTAAGGAAATCAGCCCTGAGTGCTCACTGGAAGGACAGATCGTGAAGCTGAGGCTCCAATACTTTGGCCACCTCATGAGAAAGAGAAGACTCCCTGGAAAAGACCCTGATGTTGGGAAAGATGGAGGGCACAAGGAGAAGGGGACGACAGAGGACGAGATGGTTGGATAGTGTCTTCGAAGCTACCAGCATGAGTCTGACCAAACTGCGGGAGGCAGTGGAAGACAGGAATGCCTGGCGTGCTCTGGTCCATGGGGTCACGAAGAGTCGGACACGACTAAACGACTAAACAACAACAACAATTGTAGACCAGGGATTGCCCATGTGTTCTGAAGACATCACAGCCTACAATTCCCATCATTCCTGCCCACTGGCCATGGTGGCCGGGGCTGATGGGCGTTGTAGTTCAACACCTCTGGAGGACACCATGTTGGCTACCCATGGTGTTGGTTGGCATCCATTTGTCTCAGGAGACAATGGAGGTGTGTGCTTTTGGGGGTGAAATCAAACTGTTGGAAGGTCACAGCATCTGCTGTGGCTGTAGAGACCAGAGGTCGGCAACCTAAGGCCCATAGGCTCATGGCCGGTTCTGTGGATTGGCGAGGGGAATCCGTGGGGTTTTTTCCATGGCGTGGGCACCGTTTTTCCCCCGCTGACATTTCCCCTCCTCTCCCTCACTGCGGCGGAACCTCCCCCTCCTCCCGGTGTAACAAATCGCTGGCCAATCGCCTGCTAAGGTTTGAGGCCCTGGCCAATGGGGGAGTGGCAGCTGCGTGTGGCCGAGAGGAGGAAGGGGGCTGGGCTGAGCTGGCCGAACGCATTTGTCAGAGCAAGCTGTTTGCCGCTGCCGCCACTCTGCCAAGCACGGCTCCTGTGCCTGCCCTTGCAAGCAGCAGAGGCTGTTGTCATCAGTGGAGGAGGAACGAGCAGCGCAAAAGCAGGCCTTTCAGGCTGCTCATTCCTTCTCCACCTCTTCTGCTGCTGTCGGTGATGGAAGAGGAACGATCAACCCCAAAGCAGCCCTTTTGGGCTGCTCCTTCTTCCTCCGCCGTTGCCGCTGCCGCCACCAGCCTCTGCCTCTCGGCAGCACCCTAGGTAGGCAAGGGGACGGAAGGGACTTGGGGGGGGAGAGAGAAGCCCCCTCTGCTGTGTGCACTCCGGCCCACCAGCAGGTTTGTGGTGCAGTGAATCGGCCCACCCCCAAAAAAGCTTTGGTTGTGCGGCTGCAGATGCACCACAGCATTTCTTCTCTCTGCACTTCTCCTTGTAGTCATTCCTCCTCTGGTCACTGCTATGGATGCTCAACCTGACTGCCTGTCTCCAGGCACTGCAGTCGTGTGCAAGGGATTCCCACATGGTGGGGTTGATGTTGCTAGCCTTCGTGTTATGTTTGCAGACATCTTTGTAACGCAGAGTTGGTCTGTCAACGGACCTGGAACCTGAAGCCAGCTCTCCTAAGGGCATGTCCTTGGGGATCCTGCCATATTCCATTCTGAGAACACGACCAAGCCAGTGTAGATGTCACTGAGACAGGAGTGCAAACATGCTGGGAATGTAGGAGAATGTGGGAGAGCACATCTTTGTATAGAGTGACAATACTTATCTAGAAGGACCATCTATAAGGCAGCTTCCTATGCTCCTATCTGGTTGGCCAATGGATCAGATGGACCTTTGGTCAGATCTTTTGTTCTGCAACCTTTTCAAAGAGGCCCAGCAAGGCTGACTCCAATGAGTACTATGGCAAGCCTTGCCTTTGTGAGATGTAGGCGATACACACCAATGACACATTTGTGAATGGGATGTCTTCCTACACAGACCATTTGTGTATGCTCTTGAGCCTTCACCCTGCAGCACCTCTTGCTTGGGTAAACGAGACAGTGGAGAGATGACCTCATATATCAGACACTCCAGCTATGTTTAAGTCAGATGTTAACATCTTATCAGAATTCTGGCTTCTTTTGGCACTGGCTCACGGAACCGTCTTCATGACAGAAAAATGCAAGCGTTACACAACAACGCGGCTATTGAGAAACAGCAAACGGCCCCTGCATTCCCAGATGTGCTTTCCTGTGTCAGCTTCTTGCCTTTGTGACTTCACCATAATTGTTCAATTAAGGCACACCAATAATACTTAGAATCAACTGTACAGACTGTGTTCTACTCCCTACTCCATGCACCTTCTCTGCCAACTGAAGCCGGGGAAGTTAACACCAAAACAGAAGAGATTAGAACATTGGGCCCAATTCTTAAATAGCCAGCCTTGCTTTTGAATGAATGGTATCTGCTACCAGTCAGTGGATTATGATTGTGTAGGCCAGGGATGGGGAACCTGTGGCCATCCAGCTGTTGTTGGACTCCAACCCCCATCAGCACAGCCAACAGTCAGAGATGATAGGAGTGTCAGAGTTTCCGTACAACTGAGCTGTAATAGCTCTCCTCCTCATCGTATCTTCGGAATCCATCGACCTCTGCTCCGACAGTGATTAATGACCTAAGCCTTTAATGAGGCTTCGGGTACGTTCCCCATTATGCAGAGTACCCGGACAGCAGACGGAGCCAGAAAATGTGTGCTACATTGCTACATTTATTTCTATCTACGCAGGACAGAAAAGAATATGCATCTGTTCTCTGTGAGAGACAGTGAACAACAGGAACAAAGACACAGGAAACCAGTAACTTCAACATCCGTCTCCCATGAGACTTCCAACAGTCTGGAATGTCAACAGAGTCTTGTGACTCCAAAAACTGCACAGTGGCATAACAGAAATCTAACAAGGAGTTGGAGAGCCAGAGGTTAGCCAGCCCTGATGTGGACTGCGGATGAATGACTTTTACTCCTCTGAAGTTCAAGTGCAGCTGGGTCTTTTGGTCAGGTGGCAAGCTGGCAAGCTGAAGGTGTTCAGAGGAAGACCCTGACAGCCTCCCTTAGTGACATCATGCCCAGATGAAGGGAAAGCAGGAAGTCTGAGAACTTGACATCAACGCATGGCAACAGATTAGCCCTGGTTTGCCAGGCCAAGAGGATTATGGTCTGTGGCCCGAATGCCTGTTATTCCTTTCACTAACCTGGTGAAACAAGAGGAAAGCCAGTGTCTGATCTGGAGGCTCCTGGTCTGAAAAAGTCCTAACAAGTATTTCATCAGGCCTTTTTCAGAGGTTATGGCAGTCTGAATGTGGATATCATCTGGAGGAACCCAGACCATGTGGGACCTCTCCATGGGATGGGCTGCTTGTGCAATGCTGACTATGCCTATGAAACTTTGCATCATCGTTAAAATGGTCCTGAATTGTATGGCTCTTGCTACACACGAAAAGCCAATTTAGCAGCTGCATGGTTTGATTTCCCATAAGCAACCAGAACCCACCCCCAATATTGTATGAAGCTGGCCCAAGGTCCCTAATGTATGGAGCATAAGACAATACAACATTTACTCAGGCTGTGTACACACCGTACATTTAAATCACATGTCTTCTCCCACATAATCCTGGGGACTCTTAATTTGTTAGGGATGCTGGGAATTGTAGCTATGTAAGAGATAAACTATGGCTGACAGGATTATTTGGGGAAAGTCATGTGCTTTAAATGTGCTTTAAATGTATGGTGTGTGCACAGCTGTACAGAAAGGGCAAGTGTCCACACAGGCCACTGGTGTGATTGCTGGTTATGTCCTTCCTGCTCTTTCCAGGCTGACAGTGGATAGCAATCTCGTCACTGATGTCTCGTCACATAAGCTGAGGCCCCTTTTCTCAGCACAGATCCTTTAATTTTTTCCTTCTCTTCTTATCCCCTGTCCTCCACCCATCCAGCAGCCCTGCATACAAATGCTCTGGCTCCTTATCCCTGCCTTGAATCCACAAACAAATAAAAAAGCTGGAAAGCAAAGATGTAAACTAAACTGAGCGAACAGCTATTTGATGAAGATTATGAGGTCAGGTTCACTTGTTCCACCATCTGGTGTCTATTTACACCCTTTCCCTCAGCTCTTTTCTCTTTTAGGAGGGGAACAAAGAAGTTCAGCTGGCCCCAGAGTGAGAGAACCTGGCTGCTCTGGGGTAAACAACAGCCACCTGGGTAAAGAAGCCCCTTGGGCTGGTGATGGAAGGGACATTTCACTAGGCTGGACTCTTGAGGAGTTGGATTCGAGACAGGTTGGCCCTGTTTTCTCAACTGAAGACAGATCTGTTGCACAGGCTTTGAGCTTCACCAAAGGCAGGCAGAATTCCTCTTGCTTTCCACAGGGGAAAGCCACTCTTTAGCCACTCAGTTGGAGCAGACGGCAATAGGGTTTTCTGTGGACTGCCATTTGTTCCGATTTAGAGCTAAAGAGTGGGTTTTCCCTTGGGAAAGGAGCAGGGTGAGGGGGAAACAGCTTGGACCCATGCCTAGAAAGCATGGGTCAAGCAGAAAACTGCTCGGCCCCCTGCTTTCTAGGCATAGACAAGGGGCAGTGTAGACAAGCCCTAACTCTGTCTCCAGCAGCTTCTCCAAAGCTGGTTATTAATGGTCTTGACATCAGCCAGGTTGTCATTCTACTTGCTAGTCTTGTTCCAGGTATTCTTCATCTGTCTTGCTCCTTACCACTTCCCTGCCTGCCTGCCAGCTTCCCAACCTCCTTGCTGCATCCTTCTTCCCAACCCTTTTGAGTTGACTTTTCCAGATTCATAGACCTCCAGGTTGATCCTGCCAGGATTTAAGGTAGTTGCTCAGACCTGCAGGCAAACATCTATGGGCTCATCCAAGCTCTGATTTGTGTCACGATTTGTAAGCACAAGTCCGTGCTTTCCAGGCACAGGTCTGAGTGGGGTTTTTGTTTTTTTGTCTCCTCAGGAAAACCTGCTGTTCACAGTTGAATCAGAACAAACGTCAATCAGTTTTTCTGTGGATCAGTATTTGTTCCAATTCAGTGGTAAACAGCGGCAGTGTTTGGCACAACAACAACAAAACAAAAACAAGAAACCCTGCTCAGACCCGTGTCTGGAAAGCATGGGCCTATGCTTATAAATCATGGCACAAATGGAAGTCTGGATGAGCCCTCTGTCTCTCTTCCCAAGCCACACACCCTTAAGTGTTTCTCCTGCCTAGAATGTATCCTCAGACTCTTGCTTCCTTGGAGGGAGGACATAGAGGGGTGTGTGAGTGTGCATAGACTTTGCTTCTGCCCCACCCACCACTGGCATGTGGGCCCAGGAAAGTTGCCCAGAAGGGAATATGGCTTTCGGGATGAGAAATGTTGTGGGTGGGGAACCTATCTAGGCTACTATTGTCTGTTTTGACTGATGGAGTACAGCTTTTTGCCACCACCTGCTACTTTTAGTTGGAGGTGCCAGAATTTGAACCTGTGACTTCCTACCTGGAAAGCATATGTTTTACTGCTTTCCTTCCTCGGTTGTCCCTCAGCTTCCCATGTGTTCAAACAATTGCAGCTCTTCACTGAAACCACTTAAAAGATGATGGAGGTAAAGGGATTGCAGCTTCCTGAGAACCACCCAAAGAGTGTTTGAGCTGCGTTTGACCTCAAACTTTAGGTCAGAGTCTAATTTAAAATATCACCATTTGATTCTTTTAACAGAATTCCACTTGTAACAATAATAACGGAACTATTATAGTGACTCAGTTGCACCTGATTAACTATCTACAGTGCAGAGATTCTCCACAAAACATGACTCACTGAACTGTATTCATATCCTTGGCATTCACTTGGACCCCTGTGTAAAACAGAGTGGAAATAATCCACTTGGCACTTCTGTGTAGCTTAGAGCTTGCTGATGACTCTTGGTTGAAATATTCAGTTAAATATGTCTATTGTTATAGTCCAGTCAGAGGGCAAATATTTAACATGAATAAGGTGCCAGGTTCAGCCTCTGATAACTCCAATTAAAGAGTCTAAAGTAGCTAGGGAAGAAGCAGAGCTAGGAAACATTTTTGTTAGTGTGTACAGACATACATAATCAGAGGTGTCAATCCTGGATAAAGCTGAGGAGGAAATTGGTTCTATTAATTTCCAGCTTGCAGAACTGATTGGCTAAACTTTATGACACAACACACAATGGCCAGCTTTTATGACATCATGGAGCCAGCAAATGCTGACAGATTAGTTTTTCTGATGTCATGGAGCCATCTCTCCCCACGCCCGATTCTCTAGAGTAGTTTCTCAAGGAAGAGAGAAAGGGGAAAGAAGAAATTGAACAAAACCTAGTAGGAGAAACCCAGTTGAGTCTACCCTTGATTGAAAGCACAGGCTTGTGTTGGTACACGTCAAGCATGTTCAGTGTACACTTCCAAAGTCTGGCTGCGTCAACATATTTCCAAACCTATCTAAGCTCATTAGGGAGTCAGAACTGGCTGAAGCTCCATTGTGTGTACACTCAGAACCATTTCACAACTTACACAGGATCAAATCCAGGTTTGCCATCAGGTGCATGCTCAATTGGGAACTGCAGCCAATCCTGGCTCCCCACTGAGTGTATTGTGCTACACATCGCATTTTTGGAGTATACAACAAATGCATTGTAAGCGCACAAATAAGAAAAGCAAAGTGAGAAGAATCAGCCCCAAGGAGGAAGAATCAACGCTCCGCTGGTGCCTTGTGGTGGAGACACGATCAGGTCAGATTGTGTCTGAGGGAAGGCCCGACCACAGTAGCTGGCCACACAGAACAGACTCAAGAGGCACCGTCCTGGAGCTAGTGGTGCAAAGCTAATAAGAGTCAGCTTGTTGGGAATCATTTGCCTTGGGGAAAGGGGAGTGAAGCCGGCAGCCTGTGCTGTTTACCAGACTATCAGCAGAATTCCTGGTAGTTTCTGCAAGGGCCTTGGCTCCCATCTCAAATATAGCACCTCCGTTGGCGGTTTAAAGTGCGAGCCAGGAATTTCCTTGCACAAAGCCAAGTGGCAGTCAAAGGATGCTGCAGGCAGTGTTTGGGCATCGAATAGCTGGAGAGGGGCTGAATCACCCCACTCCTTGGCTTCCTCCTTCCCGTCTCCCCCATTGGGATTGCACCCACATTTCATTTCCCTAAGATCTTTCTCCACCTCTTTGTCTTGCCTCTTAAAACAAATCCCTTCTCCCTTTCTCTCCTGTATTCTTTCACCTTCTCATTTCATCCTTACAACTTTGATCATTTCAGACTTGCACTGAGGGGCTGTAGCTTTGCATGCAAAAGGTCCCAGGTTCAGTCCTTGGCTTCTCCAGGTAGGACTGGGAGAGAGACTCCTTGTCTTAAGTCCTGGAGCGCCACTGCCAGTCAATGTAGAGCAGGGACAGTCAACCTTTTTATACCTACCGCCCACTAATGCATCTTTCTGGATGGTAAAATTTCCTTACCGCCCACCAGTGCTCAATGAAAGAAGGATTCAGCTTGTGCCCTAGAACCCCCTGCTGCCCACCTAGAATCCTGAAACGCCCACTAGTGGGTGGTAGGGACCAGGTCGACAACCCCTGGTGTAGACAGTGCTGAGCTAGATGGATCACTGGTCTTAGATGGTATAAGGCAGATTCCCATTGTTGTGAGTTTGGGCTGTAGATTAGGCTGTACAATGCCCAAGTCCCTTCTAATTCCTGGATCCTGCAAAGGTTAAAATCAAAAGGGTTTAAATCATTATTGAAGGAGCCAGGCAAAGGCCATGATGACCCCTGCGTGTGAGTTGCTAGCATAAGAAAGCTAGAAGGCTTCTGGGTGGGCCCTTTCCCACTCTTGGCTGGTAGTGAGAAGGTCAATAGCCAGTGAGAGAGAGAGAGCTGGGCTCTAAGCAGGCTGCAGGCAGAAGCCTGAGAATGCAAGTTTCTGCTTGAAGCCAAGTCTGTAGCTATGGAAGAAGCAATACTGAACCTTCTAGGGTATTAATACTGTGAGCCCCTCCATCTTTGGCTCAGGTTGTATATATGTGTAAATAGCCATTTACCCTAAGTCCCCACTATCCCTCATTCCAAGGAAACTGAACCCTGGAAGCACTGAATCAGCTTTCCATGACAAGTTACTAGGAAGAAAGAAGTGGAGGGAGAAAAGGTAAGATTTAGCAAGGTCCAAAGTCACACTCTTTCATACGTTCAAAGTTCAATTGCAGGAAAGTAATGGATTTCTAGGAGTATTTGCTGCATTTAGTTTTGATACTTGGTCTTTTTTTGTTATTTTGTTTTGATTTGGTATCACAGTGCTTTAAATGTATGCCATGATTGTGGCCAATGTCCAGTTGGAATCCGAGCAACAACCCTGTAGAATACATCAGCATTGTTATCTCTCAGGTTGCAGGTTAGGGCAAGGGGAGTAAGACCGAAGGAGAGTGGTTTGTCTGCAATCACTGAGTAAGTATTTTTAAGTTAATAGCTGAACAAAAACTTAATCGATTCTAATTTGCTTCAGTAGTCTCATATGAATCTTCTTTTCTGTGTGTCACTTTGAGACTTTGTTTGTGGGGGAGGAAAGCAATCAAATAATTAAATTTAACGCCTGCCCTTCACCATGGCTTTTAGCAATTTAAAATTTAGAATTAAAAACAGTTAAAACAGGTGACAGGAATAGGGTGGGTCCTGAAAACACGTCTCAGGTGTCAAACAACAGTATGGATTGAGCCCTCATTCCATCTTGTAGTATTTCGGCTCAAACATAGACCTCCCCATAAGCCAATTCCCCACTAGTGGGAGAAAAGTGGCATCCCTCCCTACGGCTGCTTTTCCATTTCCGGTGTCTGTCCCCTGCGATTGCATTTCATTTTTTTAAAAAAGTGTTGGGAGAATGTTACGTGTTTTCCTTCAGCAGTGCCTGAGCTTGGCCCAGAGTCCTATAAGGGAATTTAAAGCTATATTATTACAGCAGGAATAAAGGGAGGCACAAAATGGGAAGCATATCTTGGCAAAAATCTCCCGCTGAGCAGGCGAGAGGAGGACCAGTTCCAAAACTTTTTGCTGCAACGATGGTTCCCTGGTTCCTCAAAAATCTTGCTGGAAATCACCAGCAAGTCTTCAGAAACTGGGGCATACCTGTCCATCATTCTCCCTGCCCTAAATCCGGACTCTACCCTTATTTGCCTATCTGCATTGTATGCAACATGGTCCAGTGGACCTTTGCCATATCCCGTGAGCCACACACAGAAGCTGCTCCCCATAACTCATTTGGGGATTCTGTCCTGACCCTCCACTTAGGCATCCTTCCTCTAGATCATGTTTCCTGCCACAAGCAGAATGCTGGAGTCCCTGACTCTGTCCATTTAAAATATGTAGACCAGCTATTTGTAAGCTGGATGCCATCCAGCTGCTAGTATGGCGTAAAAAAGTACAACCCTCTTCCCCGCAGGGCGGCTGCCTGATTTATCTCTACACTATCCATTGCTTGGGATTTGCCTCCTGCCATTTGTTGGGAGCGGGCAATTCTGTCCCACTAGGAGGAGACCGGTGTATTCAGTCACTTGCAATGAAACAATATTAGATAGCCCCAGATGGGGCTGTGTGCTGTGTGTATATGCATGAGCCAGGCACTGAACTGTGTCTGGAAAGCACAGTGCAAAAGGAAGTCTGGATGAGCCCTTAGTCGTATGCTGTTTTGGGGTGAGAATGATGCATGCATCATTAGACCTTATGAAGCACATTGATGCATCAAACCAAATGTCTGTCTACATCCAGCATCTTTTCCTCACAATGGCCAACCAGATGTTGCTGGGAAACCCACAAGTAAAAACGGAAAGCAGTATCCCCACTTCCAACAACTGGTGTACTCCTGGGGGCTGACTAGAGCTGCCAGACTCACCTTCTATGAATTTGTCTGATCACTTTTTCAAACTAATGGATGGCAGGGAGTTCCATAATTGTGTTTAGCTGGACGTATCTCTTCCACCTATCAATCTCACTGGGTGACCCTGAGTTCTGGTATTATGGCAGAATGAGAAAAAGCTCTCTAATGCACATGCATAATTCTACTAGATTGATTACATCACCTGCTGCTTACCTTTCTTTTTCTGAACTAAAATGTCCCAATTACTGTAGCCTCTCCTCATAGGCCAGACACTGCAGCCCCCTTGATAATCTCAGTTCCCCCTTTCCTGCCCCCTTTTTGAGTATCCTTTTTGAGAGGTTCAATTTTTATGGGAGTTGGGGGGAGGAGTGTGTGACCTCCATCAAAGTCTTAGGAAACACTGACACACAGGGGACATTTCACAATGAATTCTGAAGCAACGTCACCTGTTTCTTTTCAGCGTGGGACATGAGCAATTGTTTGACAACCTGATAACCATAATACTATTCCAGGGCTGGCCTGCTTTCCTCCCAGCCCTTGGAAGCTACTCACGCTGGGTCCTCAGCCATCGCCTCCAGAATAACAATGTTCACTTGTGTGGCGCGTTTTTCATACCAGAGTGCTTCATAATCAGCAGTTGTTTTGCCAATGTTTGCTCTAGAGGAGGACTGTGGCAGCTGTTTAGCATTACATAGAAGGTAGAGGAGGAAGTGGAGAAGAATCCTGTAGTCCACTGTGTGTGTGTGTGTGTGTGTGGATTGCAGACTTGGAAAGAGCCCCACAGCTTTTGTGTGGAGATACGTTTCAGAATCTGCTTATTAACTCCTCAAGCTTATGGCTCCAAGCAGATACCAAACACAGTTCAAGCTGCTTTGCATGAGAGCAAACATCTAGTCAGGTGCTTTGGAAGAGAGAAGGGCAAATACCTAAACCAGAATTGCAGAACTTGAGGCCTAGGGGCAAAAGGTGCCCGCCGACTTCTCCGTTTGGCCCTTGGGACTCTCCTCAGGTCACACTCTCTCTCCCCATTTCTTCCTTCCATTTACTTCCTGGAGTGTTTCTGCCACTGTCCTTGAACTCTGACGATGCCTCTTTCTTGCCAGACTGGGGACAGAGAGGGGTGTGTGTAGAAAGCAGCCTACTGTACAAAGGTAAAATGTATATTCATTGTTCCGCCCACTCCTGGCACCTTGATGATGGCAGAAGGTTGCCCAGGAGGGAGTGGTTCAAAAAAGGTTCCCCACCCCTGACCAAATGGAACTAGACCCTCATTTTGCTTATTCTTTGGGTTTCTTCCAAGGATGTAGTCAGACTCCAGAGGCAGCCTGAGCTGAGCCTTGCAAATTGCTCCCCTCCCCATTATCTGTCTAAGCAGCTTGACCCCTCTGGGAGCCACATGTCAGTGGTGGGCAGGGCCAGAAGCCAAAGTGGGGGCAATGACAAACATACGTTTTCCCTTTGTGCAATGGATTATTGGGTCTTCTCTGAGTATAGCTAGAGTATGACTCACTCTATCCAGAGCAGGGGACAGAGCAGCCTAGGCAACAATACAGAGCAGGAAGGCATGTTGTGATGGTTGTTTGGGAGGTAAAACAGAAGCCACTCCCTCTTTGTCCATCTGTGTGAATCTGAGCTATTTGGGGGGGGGCCTCCTCTACCACAATTAATGTCGGAAAACAACTTGCAAAGGACGCGCCTGACCTTTTAATGTTTAGTGATGAAAATGCGGCTGCAAGGATTGCAAGGAAGCCAAGTAAACATGGACCCTTCTGACTCAATGTTTCTGCAACATGTGTGTACCTTTTCAGGCAGACCAGACTGACACACACGTATTTCCCCTCCATCTAACCCCACCACCAGTGCCTTCAGAAACAGCTGTGGGCAAGTGATATATATGGATGCTTTTGTTTGGTTAGTCTTCCACAGGAGATTGGAACGATGTCCTGCTGCTAATGTAGGCCTTCTGAAATGTGAGGAAGATGGCAAAGGGCTTTCATTGAACACTATAGACTAGGGGAAGCCAACGTGGAGCCTTTCAGATGTTTGCTGCATTTCAGCTCCCCTCATCCCTGACCACCGGCCATGTCAGCTGGGGCTGATGAGAGATAGAGTCCAGCATCTGAAGGGCACAGCATTGGCTATTCCTGCTTAGCTTTAAATGAGCTTAGCTATCATGGATTCCCTTCATGGAAGTCTGGGAAATAGAGCTCTGTAACTATTGTAGGCTGAGACGTGGGTGGCGCTGTGGGTTAAACCACAGAGCCTAGGACTTGCCGATCAGAAGGTTGGCGGTTCGAATACCCGCAACAGGGTGAGCTCCCATTGCTCGGTCCCTGTTCCTGCCAACCTAGCAGTTCGAAAGCACATCAAAGTGCAAGTAGATAAATGGGTACTGCTCCGGCGGGAAGGTAAACGACGTTTCCGTGCGCTGCTCTGGTTTGCCAGAAGCGGCTTAGTCCTGCTGGCCACATGACCCGGAAGCTGTACGCCGGCTCCCTCGGCCAATAAAGTGAGATGAGCGATGCAACCCCAGAGTCGGTCACGACTGGACCTAATGGTCAGGGGTCCCTTTACCTTTACCTAGCTATTGTAGGCTAGCCCTCCACAGCCTGATGGGGATCTACACAGCATTGCGTTCTCATCTGTCATGACTTCTCCACAAAGCAATCTTGGAAACTGTAGTTTGAGAGAGAGATAAGCATTCTCCATTAGACATCTGTAGCCTGGAACAGCCTTCCCTGACCTGATGCTTTCCAGATGCCACCCAGCAGCGGCTGATGAGAGTAATAGTCCCAGGCATCTGGAGAGCATCAGGCCCTGTAGACCTGCACTCCATAGGTCAGCTGCTTAGCACAGTATTTGAGTGTCAGTTGGGTGGTAGAGGGAGCAAGACTGGGGACAGGTACCCAGCACCTGTTGCAAATGCCTAGCCAATCCACACTATTAAGTTAAAGCACATCCAGTGCAGGGGTGTAGGAAGGGGGGGTGCAGTACGCCCCGAGTGCCACCCTGATGGGGGGGTGACAAAATGGCCAGTGGCACTCACCACGGGGCATGCAGCGCGCATGAGCAATGTGTGTTGGCACCTGCAGGCTCCGCACTGTCTACTGGCTGCCTCCCCCTGTTATGTACTGAAGTTCTCACCCTGGGCCAGCAGGGGGATACTGTAGATAGTTTTCACTCAAGTCCACATATGCAAATAAGGGATTGAAAGTGACGTTCAGTGATTGGATAGTTACAGAAAGTTGTTACAGTTGCGTTGTAGTGGAGCTCTATATAAGCGGGCTGGCTGAACCCTTCAGTTCAGTTCTGGCCTGTGAATAAATAAGAGCTGTTTGAAGAATTGCTGTGTCGTCTGATATGTTCACCCACAACTTAATACCCCCCATCTGTAGGGTGGCTGAGGCCCCACAGCATGCCCAGTCCCTCCCTAAGGGCACCCCACGCTCTGTGCCGTCCCTATGGATGCTGCGTGGCACCCATAGGGACAGGGCACGTGGTGCCCATAGGGAAGGGACAGGCCATGCTGTCCCTATGGGTGGTTCACCCTGCTCCTATGGATGGTTCTCACCACCCCTGGGCACGCCGCCCCAGGTGCCCGAGATCCAGTGCACATTTAAAACACATGACTTCCTCCAAAGAATCCTGGGAGCTGCTATTCCAACCTCACAATTCCCAGCACCCTTAACAAACTATAGTTCCCAGGGTTCATTGGGGGAAGTCATGTGTTTTAAATGTGTGTCTTTAAGTGTGTGATGTAGATCTGCCCCAGGGCTGTCTCTAACATCAACCCAAGTCTTTAAGGTCCAACAGGGGGAAACACAACTGAGCAGGATCCAAAATTCCCAGTGTGCAGAGGATTCCTATGACTATGTATGGACTGTGAAGGGCTGTAAGGGTGGGGGGAGCTTCCAGATGGACATACTGTTCCCATTTGTTGCTTTGAGATCAGAATCCCAGGCTAGGAATACTGTGAAACACATAGGTTTGGCCACTGCTTGGATGTGCGGCTGCATGGGACGTGATGTATGCTGCTCTGAAAGGCAATCATAGCTGTCAACGTTTCCCTTTTTATAAGGGAAATTCCCTTATTCTGAATAAGATTCCTTGCAAGAAAAAGGAAAAGTTGACAGCTATGAAGGCAATACTGTTAAGAAATTTAAGAAATCAGCACACTTGTGCCCAGCCCTGCTCAGGGATTCTAAGAAACAAGACAAAAACCAAAAACAAGTGCAGTTTCAAAACCAGAAATTTAAATCAGTGCAGCTTTGAAAGGTTCAGCCCGCCATCTTAATTCAAAATGGCAAACAATTGTACCCAAACAGAGACAAAAATCTGATGCTTGTTCTCAGCAGTCATCATCCAAATATGGTTACAATATCTTAAGAGGTGTCTAAAGGCATAGCAAACAGACAAACAACTATCCAAAATAAATCACTTCTAGGGAAAAACAGCAATTGTCGTTCAATATCTTCCTATTTTGGGAAATCCATTGTGTTTCTTGACTACTGTACAGATTTACGATTCATATTTTACCCAGTTTAGACATTCTACTGCTGTTGGCGAGATTCCCAGATCCGCATGACGTCTGGATATAAGGGGGTTATTAGTATTACAGAGGTTTGGCACTGTAGCAGGGAGTCTATCGTCTGAGCCAGAGTTCAGCCTAGTGAGATGTCTACTGAAGCATTATGTATTCGTATAGCACCATCCAATGTCTACCATTTTTCAAAGCGACATAGCAATTTTATTTATTTATTTATTTACTTACTTTACAAAATTAATATACCACTTTTGTTTGTCATGAAACCTCTACGCGGTTGACATAAAATATTAAAATAAACAATGAAAACAGATAAAATAAGTAAAACATAAAAAAAATTAAACCAGCAGTTAGCTAAAAACTGATTAAAAGCACAGCAACATATACACATGTCAATAGGCCTAATAAAAAATGTATTAAGCAGGCACACAAACAAAGGAAAAATAGTAGAAGTGCCTGCCTGATATCAATAGGCAGGGAGTTCCAAAGTGCAAGTTATGGCAAACTAAAGGAAGAATTTCTGAAATGTTTAGAATGGGTATTGTGCATAAGACTGCCAGTTCTACAGATTGAAACTGTCGAGTAGGCACATAGGGGGTAAAGCGATTACATGAGTAAAAAGTAATAATATTAATAATAATAATAATAATAATATAGGTCCCTACCCTTAAGGATCCTGCAATTTTAACTCCAGTAATGGAGAACACAGCAGAGGGAAACGGGTGGAGAAGGGGAAGAAGCAAGAGCAGCAGGACGACTGAAGAAAATGCAGTTCTGTATACATAGCCTTCTTTGCAATTGGGGATAAGGATTAAAGGGTTAAGCCAAAGGCTTGGAATAAATCCTTTCTATAGGGAGATGATGGATGTAATTGACTCAGCTCTAGTCTTTCTCAGACAAAGGACTAGAGTGTTATTTTTATTGAAATCGTTTTGAAAAAGTGATAGCTGCTTGTGGCATATGTACAGCCATGCGGTTTTCACCTCAGGTTAATAGAGCTGGAAAGTTTTTTTCATTGTTTAAAAAAATCTGCAAAATCTGTTTGATCGAGAGCAAAAGTAGGATAAAGGAAAGTTACACTTGTACGTATGTCGTGTGTGTGTGTGTGTGTGTGTCGACACCATAGGAAGCAAAGTCTCTAACCGTTACAAACTTTTCTCTCTTCCTGCCCTAAGAGTCAAGGTTTCCTTAGTTCGGCAGTTCCATGTCATTTCTGCCAGCTGTCCATTGAGCACACATTCAGATTTGTTTGTTGGAAGGGTATATCAACCTGTGCCAAGCAACTATTATCCCTCGCTTTCCAAGGGTGCGCTTCCCAATCATTTCCCTCATCACAAAATGTCTGATTTGAGTGGGGAGGGTGGTTTGTTGCACAGAGCAAAAACCAGCTTTATTTGTGCAATCTGAGTTTGTTGGCATGTGGTTGAATCCCACCCCAAAAGAGCAAAAGTCTGGAAGAGACCAAAGTGCGATTCCACATGCATCCTGCCTATCATGGAAATGTTTCATACATCTTACTACGTAATAAATATTCACATTTAACATTTCTGAAGTTCCACCTGCTATGTGCTGAAAGAAGGAGGTCTCCCGAATAAACCTGACTTGTACTGAGCCCATTCCTGCTATTAGCACCTCAGATAAAATACTGTAACTTCCCCACTAGAAATGCAGGGACTGACGATGAACATGGCCCCCCACAAATACTCTGTTAGCAGAACCCCTTGTAATGGCCCATGCACCTCTGTTCCCCTCTCATTTTAATAGAATGTCCTTCATATAATTTCTGCTTAATTTCACCACTGTGAAAGCCGCTGTCCTAGCAGAAGTTAGGATTTTCCTTGCACACAAGTTCCAGGATAGAAACTTCCCTTTTAGAGCTAACAAAGCTGAGTAAGACTTTCACACGGTGAACATAAATTTACTGATGTAAATGGTACTTGGGAAATCTGTGGGTCTCCTGGTTCAAGTGGTCTCTTCAACCACGGCTTGGGGGTGGGGGTGCAGCCCAAGAGAGAGGGAGGCTCACATCAAAACATGACTTCTAGAACTTTTACTAATCTTATGTGGCTACTAATAGAGACTGTGCCTCTTCCCCTTCTCCTACTAAACAAAGCCCCAACTCCCCCCCCCATTAGTCTCCCAAAGTAGTATCAGGTACCAAATTAGTATACCAAAGAGGCAGACCTTACAATAACGAGGAACACAGATTAGCTTAATGGCTGTAATATCAAATTGCTTTACAGTTCTCATGTCATCAGCTGAGCATAGGCAAAAGATGCTGTGCTCCTTTCCCACAATAATTTTTTTTTTTAAAAACCCCACAAAATACGTAGTTCAATTTTGCCTCTCTCTGGACAAAATTATGCTTTGAAAAATACCAGCTTTCAGGTTCTGCAGTGCACTTTACCAGGTACAAAGAAAACGATGAGTTAAAATACAGACGTTTCATCTCCACCAGACAAGGTGACTCAGGCAGCTGCCAGAAATGTCATCTGGGTGTCAAGTTCCCTACCCCAAACCATAACATCTAGGAACATCCATCAGATGTATGACTTCATCACACTGTGCAATATTCGATGATGTGAAGCCGGGGCGGGGAAATGCAGAACGTGATGACATCACATTGCGAGGGATGTGTTAATTGTGTGTTATTGGGGTGGGGCAGGGAGCAGGAGATAACTGTTCCTTGTTGGAACAGTTGCTGTTTAGCGGAAGTTCCTTGTTAACAAGTCTGCCCTTCAATAGTGAGCAGTCTCAAATAGTGAGCTTTGTCCCACAACGACCCTGTGCACACCCCTGCATGGAGCATCATTCTCCCAGATGTTTTCCACTATGATCATTTTTGCTATCATGTGCCTTAAAGTGTTCACAGTGCTTCACAAGTGTTATTCCCAGTAAGTAGCCCTGCAACGTGGATCAGAATTATTATGGCCCTTACCCCATAAAATTACAGACAGGAGGCTGAAAGACAGCAGTGAACAAACCACACATTTAGAGCATATCACACCCCCCCCGCAAGAATTCTGGGAATGGTAGTTTGCTGGGGATTGTAGCTGTGTGGGGTGAACTACAGTTCTCAAGATTTTTAGGGTATGTGTGTGCTTTAAATGTGCTTTGTATGTGTTGCGTGAACGCAACCAGGAGTTAATGTGCATTAAATGTATGGTGTGTATGCATCCAGAAGTTGAAGGCAAGCGAGATTTGGAGAATTACTGCTCAGGGTTCATGCTTTTACCATGATCTGCCCCTGACTGCATCACCCCAGATCTACCACCCCACCCACAGCTCGAAGATTCCCACTTAAGATTCCATGCATGTTGGCATGCACCGCCCAACCTGCACCTGCTCTGAGCATCTAAAAGGAAGAGAAGGAGAGCTGAAGCGCTGCTTACCGTCAGGTCTTCCCCATAGAACTGGAGCATGGAGGCATCAGCCACCAGCAGGGTCTCCACATAGCGGGCTTCTGAGATGAACCTCTTGGTTCTGCTGGTGCTGTTGGACTCTGCTACCCGGGATTCCTCTTCTGGGATGTCCTCTCCAGCTTCTTTTGCCCACCCCCTCTTCTGGAGCTGGTGGGCCTGCAGCAGAGGATCTCCATTCTCATGACCTTGTGGGTGGATGACATATTTGTCTCCATCCACCAAGAAGGAGCCACGGATGCCCTGGCACAGGCTGACAGCCACCAGGGAGTCTGGCTGGGAGTTCACAGTCCCCGAGTAGAAGCAGCTCCGGAGCCCCACGTCCCCCTTAGCAAGGAGCTCCTTCCTACCCACGTGCTGGATCTTCAGCCCAGGTGCCAAGAAGCTGGCATCTGGCTCCAACTGCAGGACAAACTCCTTCCTGAAGGCACGGATGGAGAAGGAAACCTGCCCTTCACTTCCCGGAGGGACCATCCAGACTGGCACCACCCCCTGGGAGTCGCTGTCCTGGGTGGGCAGTGCCCAGGCATTGCCCAGCAGTCGCAAGACCAGCAGCAGAGGGAAGAAGAGCGTGCGGGCAGCGGCCAGCCTGCCAGCCGAGGGCTGTGGTGGTTGCAGAGAAAGGGGCATTGATGCTATCAGGGAGCCAGTGACGGGATGGGAAGTGCAGGCTCAGTTGAAAAAACAGCAAAGTCCCCAGCTGTGTATGCTGCAAATTGGCAAGCCGCGATCCCCAGGGAAAAACTTGTGGCTTGAAATTGATAGGAGAGAGTGAACGAATTTGGGGTTTTAATGCCAGGTTTAGTCAGCAACAACTTGCCCAGCGTAGAGGGAGAATTGAGGGGGGCCCCCGGGAAAATCCTTTTTCTCCCCAAAGGCTGGTTTGTGGGGTTCCTTCTGTTACCAGCTTCCAAAATAGCTCTTGCACCTTTCCGGGCAAAAGATGCAGCAGCAAAGCGGGCTATCCACTTGGAAAAAAGTGTGTCGAGTTGAAAGAGGCTGGGGCTGGGTGGGTGTTGGAATCCTGATTTCTCTCTCTCTCTCTCTCTCTGCCTCTCTGAGTTTCCCTCCCTTCCCTTCCTAAGAAGCTCTCTAGCTCTCTCCCTAGGCTGCTCCGCTCTCTCCCTGGGCTGCTTCTTCCCAAGCCTTTGAAGCACCAAATCTGGCTGCAGAGTCCTCGGTATTTATACTTTTCTTCCCCCCTTGCTTTGACATAAGAGGTTTATTTTTGATCTCTCTCACTATTCCACATTCTCCCCTGGGACCTAGAGAGCAGGAGGAGGAGGAGGAATGAAAAAGGGGGGGGGAGGGGAGGTTTTTGGATAGAACTTGAAGCCAATCAGGAGCTAGGAGGACACGCCTCTCTTGTTTAAGTGTCAACTCAAACATCCCCCCCCCTTCTTATTCTCTTTGTGTTAACTCTTTCCAGGACTTTGATCACCCTTTGGCAATCAGACATTCTTTTTAAAATTTACTTTTAAAAGGCTGCATTCCAAGAGATTTGTCATCATTTGCATTGATTCTGCACTGTACGGGGTAAAAGAAGAAGAAGAGGACTTTCACTTGTTCCTTCCTTTTTCAGGGGCTCTTGGGGAGGGGGAATAAGTCTGCCATGGGAAAAAGTTCCAAATCCTAAAGAGATAAAACTCCATTTTATCAGATGCTAGCATACATCTGGGTCCTCCCAAACGAGATCTTCATCATCCCTAAAGGAGCTGCTGCTATCTAAAATCAGGAATCTTATCATTGTGCCAGGGAGTTGGACGTTTCATCTGAGAATGTTCTTCAGAGGAAGCATAGGGAGGTTTCCTCAAGAAAGCATTAACAGGGCCATTTGGAAAATTAGAAAAGCAATGCATTCTGTTCTTCCACACAAGTATAGCTGGTCATGTTTTCTTTCCTTTTTTTTAAAAAAGGAATGTTTTAATCAGAATTCAGCTCTGCCCCCCTTCTCCAAGTACATGATAAACTTGGAAAGGAAAAATAAAAATAAAAGGAAACAGAGAATGGATTATGTGCTTATTTTGTTTTCTGTTTTAAAAAAACAAGCACCCCAAACATAAACCGTTTTTTGTCTTATGACTGTCTTTATTTACAACATGTCTTTTATTACTCACAAACCCCGCACTGCACAAAAGTATCTGTTTTTATTCCGGTGTATTGCTGATGTAGCTGCTAGATATGCTATATTTTAAGCAGCCTCGCTTCCTGTATACATCATGACATGGCAGAACACCAAGAGTGGCCTTTCATTTCATTCAGTGGACTTTTGCTTCTCTACATAGCTCTCCACATTCCAAACACTTCAGCTCTGGGCAGAATGAAATTGTCGTGTGTATCATCCTCCATCCCTTCATTTCATTTTAGTAAATAATTACTCTTAAAAAACAAAAACAAAACACACACACACACAAAAAACCCCAAAAACTTTCTGAGCTTCCCCATTTACAGGCCCCTCAAGGCAGTTTACAATGAACTTGTTTATAAAAATTGCACAAAACAAACTTTCTAAACTATCCTCTAATTAATGAGCAGCAACAACAAAGAAAGTTCAAGAATTAGCACCTTAGCCAAGTACAGGGTTCTTTTAAAAGCCAATATTGATGGGGCCGTGCCTATTATTCCCTAGGGGAGAGAAGTCCAATGATGTGGGGCCATCACTAAAAAGTCCCTGTCTGTGATAACGGTCAATATAATAGATCATGACAGCAGCGCAGAGAACAAGGGCCTCTGAAGCCGAGCTTAAACTGGGCAGGCTTATACGTATGGATGCAGACAGTTTGGAAACATTTGAGCTGGTATCTCTTCTTAACTGTAGAGGACATATGATGCATTGCACTCACCATGATTGGTCTAGATTCTAAAAATCCCATTGTGCTTGACCAAAAGGAACCGACTGATAATGGAGAAAAATATTTGAATAAGGAACAGCTAATTGTGGAGAAAGGAGAAATCTTTTTAAAAGGTCCATATGCCATGCACACTGGAAGTAACTTCCACAATGGAATTCTGCCAAGCCTTGTCCAAGTCCCACACACCCAAAGGGATGCATTTTGCATGGTGGAAAGGGACCCACAGTTGCCCCATTAGTTCTTAGGGGAGTTGTAGGTTATCAGGGATCAGAGTAATTTCCTTTTTCTCAAAGCACCACAGAGGAATCCCCTTTCCTCCCCCTTAAAACGTGCTGTTCGAAAGCTTTAATCCTCAAACTATTTGAAAGGATAATATAAGCAGTGTTTTGAGGTTCCAGATACCTTCCTCCCTGGAACCTGGGAAATCAGCTTTATGGTAAATGATTGAGGAGGGTCAGTGTTTAAAGGCTGTTTACTCTGGACAAATATCTGTGCGTCCGTTTGAGGGGGATTATTTACATCTGCTTGGCTCTGTTGAAAAGCCACCTCCTTCTACTCAGACACACACTAGCTGTGTCTCTAAATAACTGCATCTTTTCCGAGGGTTGGGGGGCGGGTAAAGTTTCTGATTACCGAATTTCTTTTTATAAAGTGTGATTCTTTTGACTGTAAAGAAATGAAGCACGGTGAGCATTCGCTGGTGCGTGTTCTAAACAGTCCCATATCAAATATGCTGTCAGCGGAGGCTCCAGTGATGCAATAAGTGATGGCAGGATAAGATCCATGGGGTGTGACAGTCAGCAGCCCAACATAAACTGTTGCAGAGAAAAAACCGGTCCATGGCCAGAGATGGTCTTTTGGTAAAGGGAAAGAGAACAAGATTGGAGACGGGCAGAAGATCTGAATGGACAGAGCAGGAGTTCTGGGCTGAATCAGGAGCAGATCGCTTAGTGAAGAGCCATTTATGTGGGGAGGGGGCCAGGAGGATTGACCTGGGAGCTGAACCAGCAGAGGTTAGAGAGAACCAGTCCTGAAGCTGGTTTGTGGTCTGATGATGCCAGGGAAAGAGGCCCTCTGCTGGTGTTTTTAACAAGATGATTTGTGGAAATTCTGATTGCTGTTCATAGGGCAGCGAAGGTCCTTGCTCAGTCCTATCTGATGTTCAGTTTGCAAAGTGAAGGGACTTGTACTTAACAAAGGAGCATAGGAAGCTGTCTTATACTTGAGTCAGACTATTGGTTCATCCAGCTTAGTGTTGTCTACACTGACTGGAAGTGGCTGCCCAGGATTTCAGGCAGAGGTGTCTCCCAATCCTACCTGCAGGTGCCTGGGATTGAATTAAAACAGAAGTTACACACAGCATTTAATATAGTGCTATACAGTTCAGCAGTGCCCTTCCCTACAGCCAAGATCCTCCTACAGTTTTTACATAGAATTCAGTCTCAGCCGAAAACATAAAACTGCCCTGGTCTCCTTTGAAGGCAGTAACAATACTTACCTCTAAGCCCCCTGCAATGTTAATTGCAAGTTTCCTTTTTGCAGGTTCTGGCTGCGCTATCACTCCCTGTTCAGATTTGCTGGAGGTTAGTGATGAATTTCCTCTTAGTTAAGTCAGCATCTGCTCTGGGAGGAGACAGTTTTAACTTAAGCAAGGAAGCCAGCAATTAGAGCCCACCCTAACCCTTCCACCAGAAACGTACGCTTACTAGTCCAGGCACCAATTCATTACACCCCACACTGCCCCAGACATTCTGAGCAGGAAATAAAATGGGTGGAACCTGCAATGAGGAAACCTAACAATTGGGCATTGTCTGTAAAATAAGCATGAAGCAAGCATGACAGTTCCAGATAAATTTGTGAGTGTCAAAGCAACCTAGCACAGCTATGGGATTTGTCACCATGGAAGTCTTTTCCTCTCTTCCTAAAACCCACAGCAGCTACTCCACAGAGGTCTTAGGTGTGGAATTCCACAGCAGGGAATGCTGTGCTCCTTGTAACCTCTTCTTAAGCCCATATGGACATGGGAAGAGCCTGGTGGATCAAGCCAATGGCCCATGTAGTCCAGCATTCTCACAGTGACCAACCTAATGGTGATGTTGCCATTGAGGACTTGTTTGCTTTATATCCCCCATTCCTCTTGAAGGAGACCAGGGTGCCAGATACCTTTTGCTTGCAATTTCCAGCAACTGATATTCAAAAGCATCTTGCCTCCAGCAGCGGAGGTGGAACTGAACATCGCCATTGTGGTTCCAGGCCCTCCGAGCAACCTTCCAGTTGACTACTCACTTGAGCCACTCTCCGTCATGCTCCATGCCACAAGCATCATGCATGCAACATAAAAAAGGAACATTCCCAGCAAATGCCTCCAGATCTACCCCTCAAACTTAAGGAGACAGCCTCCTTGCTGCAAAAGGCCTCCCCAGTCCTTCAAAGTTCTTCAGCTAAGTTTGGGGGTCAGTTTCTTCTTGTCTGCAGATAGAGGAAAAGAAGCACAAGCCCAAATAGACCCCAGATTGTGGCTGTTTACACCCCATACTATTAAAGCATATCCCCTCCCCACTCCACCACCCCAAAATCCTGGGAATCTTTGGAGAGGTTAATGTGATTTGCAGGGAATGTGGGCTATTTAAAGGGTAGCCATTGCTGGGAGGTTAGCTGATGTTGCAACAAAGCAAGTGTTATTACGCATTTTCCAGCGTATTCACGCTCATCACTTTCCATATGGCAAAAAGTCAGACCTTTGGGGGAAGCAGGTTTGTTGCACAAGACCTCCCAAGCAACTAAATTTGCCAGCATGTGACTGAATTCCACTCTGGGAATAGTGGCAGTCTGGAATTGTAACCCAGGCACCCTAAATATAAGGATCGTAGATCTAGCAAGGTGGCAGAGGAACCCATTTCATACATAACTCTGATGAGGCAGGCTCTAGCAGAATCAAAGCTCACCTCAGCTACTTAAATACTTTGTTGTTTTATTTCCTTTTTTAAAAAAGAGCCATTCCTTCTACTACAGTGAACTGGCCTCTTCTTATTGCAGAAAAGGGGGAACTTTCTCTTGAGGAACACTAGCCTCTCTGCAAAACTCTTATGTAGAATAGAAACAGTTTTCCTTTGGGACAGCACCATCAGTTTCTAGATGGCCACTCGTTTTCAGTGGAGCTGTATCATGAACTTTGCAAGTGCTGAAGGGTCAACAATACTCACTTATATGCAAGGCAAAGGGTTCTACCAGAACCTCTTTCAGACTCCTTTGTCTGACCACCTTTTGCAGAAAGATGTGGTAGAGGTTCATAAATAAGGGAGAGATCCTTGGGACT